CCGTGGTGTGGAGTGTGTCGAGTTTGATGGCAGGAGAATCTCATCTCTGCTTTTTGCGGATGATGTGGTCCTCCTAGCTTCATCCAGCTCTGACCTTCAGCTCTTGCTGGATAGGTTCGCGGCCGAGTGTGAAGCGGCTGGGATGAGGTTCAGCACCTCCAAATCTGAGACCATGGTTCTCGACCAGAAAAGGGTGGCTTGCTAACTCCGGGTCAGGGGAGAGGTCCTACCTCAAGTGGAGGAGTTTAAGTATCTCGGGGTCTTGTTCACGAGTGAGGGTAGGAGGGATCGGGAGTTCGACAGGCAGTTTGGTTCAGCATCTGCAGTGATGCAGACGCTGAGCCGATCTGTCGTGGTGAAGAGGGAGCTGAGCCAGAAAGCCAGGCTCTCAATTTACCAGTTGATCTACGTCCCAATCCTCACCTATGGTCATGAGCTTTGGGTAATGACCGAAAGAAAAAGATTGCGGTCACAAGCGGCCAAAATGAGTTTCCTCCGTAGGGTGGCTGGGCTCAGCCTTAGAGATAGGGTGAGGAGCTCAGACATTCGGGAGGGACTCGGCGTAGAACCGCTGCTCCTCTGGATCGAAGGGAGTCAGTTGAGGTGGTTTGGACATCTGGTCAGGATGCCTCCTGGACGCCTCCCTGGGGAGGTGTTTCAGGCATGTCCTACCGGCAGGAGGCCCCCGGGTCGACCCAGGACATGTTGGAGAGGTTACAATTCCATCTGGTCCGGGAACGCCTTGGGGTCCTGCCGGAGGAGCTGGTGGAGAAGGCCAGAGAGAGGACGATCTGGAGCTCCCTAGTTGGGATGCTGCCCCCACGACCCGGACCCGGAAAAGCGGAGGAAGACGACGACAATATATATATATATATATTATGTAGCGTCCAGGAATGGTCAGTTTTCATCTACTGTTTGACCTTTTCGGTGACCGGTCATCTACAGACATGAATCTGCCTCTCTGCGTCTCTTAATCTTCCAAGCTGCAGGAAAGATTCGCCACTGCATGTTTACACTCTGATTATAAAAATCATGTTCCTTTCTCAGGTTCCTCTCTGCCAATCTGCAGCCTTATCTATCCGCTTGCTTCACAGGACAAAAGAAGAACTTTTACAACTCATAAGTTAAATAATCATTAAATAATAATATGGTTGAATGAACAAATGTTATATAAATACTAATATTAATGTTTGATTAATCTGTGCTGAAATTACTGTGGTTGAAATTAATTTTATTAGTACAATGAAACATTTTGATGTTATAATCAGTAAAGTTAGATTTAACAAGTGAATCGTTATCTACACTCATACACAATGTTCATAAGATGTAAATTAAAGTTAACGTCACTGCACATAGATATTTTCTTACCCACAAATCAGAGCATCCTGTATCTGAGTATGCATGACGTTCTGAGGTTTGTTTGTTAACACCTCTTAACATGGCATGTCCTGATTGGCCAAGTAAGTCATAATATGAGATTATTAAAACAGAATCACTTGCGGAGTGATTCAGCATTCTGTTAGTTTGAGCAGAACTCTGGACTGGCCACTGGGGGAAACCTGTCTAACCACCGCATCTCTTGACAAGCTGTCAAAAACCTGTTATAAGCTACAGCTGACACAGCAAAACGGTTCCTTCAGCTATTCAGAAACAGCTGTTCTAGATGCAAACATTTTCATCTATCTGTTATGATCCGGGAGACGACTCTGGACTGACCTGGTCATACTGTGGTCTTTTCTACAAACTTCGGTACCCGACCCCCCCGACATCTCGGGTCTGAAAGGGAGTCTCCTCAGGGGTACGTAGAACACAGCAAGATTGTGTCGGATGCCGTTTTGATAAGAACCAACTTCATAGTTTAATGCAGACCAAATTCTTTTCACACCTAGAACTCAGTTTCTTCTAGATACAAGGTTCTGATAAACACACACCATTCAGTCATCATCACACCTCACACTCCATCCACCTAGATTCATTCATCACATACCGTGTCCTAGTTGTCATGTTTTTAATTGTTTAGAAAATAAAATTCTTACCGTTTATAAACCTGACTCTGTCTGAATTGATACGAAGTGTGTTTGATCCCTGAAAAAGTAAAGAATCCTACAATCTTCTGATTAAATATTCAAAGACCAATCAGAGTGATAATCTATATTTATATAGAATATCCCAGCCTATTGGTCATAAGTAAAGGTAATGTAAGCAACAATATTTAACCCTACAACTATCACTACAATACATTAATAGCTATACTATGTTAGAACGTTAAGCAGCATGGTTTAAGCTAGCTTGTTTAGCAGATTTGCTGTTCTAGCTTTATTACTTGTATTACATATTTTCCAGCACCTCTATCCCATTAGCAGGCTTGGTACTTTCCTCTATTTCTGCTGTGATTAATCATTTCTGGTCTTCCGCCCTCTGATGGAGCATCTCAGAATTGCAGATGGCAGATGTCAATTTTAATATACTTCATGATTACAGTAATGTTGTATATTTATATTTATGATGGATAATTTTAAGACAGCTGAATTAACATATTTGATTCAAACATATTATTTTCTGATAATTAGTTTTTGTGTTAGAAAAGGGTTCAAAAGCAGTCTTGTTTTCTAAACTTTCCAGCAGAAAATCAAACCCAAACATTCATCTGATATAATTAAATATTTCAACTATAGGATTGAACATTTGCTGAAAAATGTACTTTAAATTAATTTAAGAGTTGTATATTTTACTATGTTTTAAGACTTAAAGCGATACTCTAGGTTTCTAAGCTGAAAAGCTTATCAAATATATTGTCTTCTTTTTAATTTAAAAAGTCGGAAGATTTCATCTTAAAAAATGACTTTTTCACATTAGCTCAGCATCCATTTCCTTTAATCTGTCACATTCTCGGTCGTCCTGGCCTCTGCTCAGCAGCTTTTCAGTTACAGTATTTGTCTGTGCTCCATCAGTGTCAATTAGACTCCAATCACAAACTGGTTTGCCTCTGAGCTTCAGGGTATTTTAGTACCTGTAAGCTTTCTTGAAAGCATAATGCTACAGTGTTGGCTCATGAACCACCAAAACACAAATGCACATTTGCATGTCAGTTACAGATAGTTCCTAATCAGAAAAGTTCCTTTTCCTCTGAAATGTCAGGGAAATTTATTTTCACCCACACACAAAACACAAAAATATATATTTTTCCCCTCTGAAATGGAATTGGCTGCTTTAGAGTTGCATTCCCAGATGAGCTGCTCTGATTAGGCTTGTGTGTGTATGTGTGTGTGCGCGCGCGTGTGTGTGCGTGTGTGTGTGTGGTGCAGCAGAAAAAATAAAGTGTAAACAAAATTGAGAGAGATGATTTGTGATGATCGTCCTGTCACAATATCATTACACGTGTAGTTTCAGAGGTGCACATTTATAGTATTCATCTGAATACCAAGGGGGAACTTCGCCTGCTAAAAGTAAAGCCACCGCTGAAGTGACAAAAGTTGCAGTTCCCTCCCCTCGTCCGCTAGGGGCTGGCTCCAGAAAGGAGTTCCCATTGACTCCCATGTTAAAAAGGCTAACTTCACAGCAGAAGTAAGCATGTTTGCAGCCTGGTTGAAATGGTCTTTAGAGCTTGCTCCAGGGAAGGCCTCGGCCTCAAGCAGAGGGTAGCAAAGTCGCTGAACTGCGATTTTCTTTGCCAAAATCAACCACCAACCTCAGTTAGCTTCTGTTAGCTTGTAGCTACATCGACTCAGATTGTGTCAATCATCTGTCCCCACCATCACAGCCATCTTAGTTCCATTTTTGTATTTTCTGGGAGTGACAGGCACAGCCAAGGTAATGGGGTTGGGAACCGCCCATTGAGCTTCAATTCTATTCCTCAGAAACCTACGAATGACGGCCCAGAGAGTCTGTCCATTAGGCAAGGCAGCTTTATTTATAAAGCACATTTCAAACACAGAAACAATTCAATGTGCTTTCCAGAAGCAAGAACAAAACATTTAAATCAAAGTGACAACATAAAACAGCAGATTTTAAAATAAAATTTAAAATACACAAATAAGATGTAAGAATAAGGTAAACAGGGAAAGTTAAAAACTGATCAGAAGGAATATTAATTCTAAGGCTGATGGAAGTTTTAAATTTGGATTAAAAGGTACTAGAGTTACACTTTCAAAGCTCATTTTTAGTAATACGGTTTAAAATGTGCTGTATTATAGATTATTGAGAGCAAATTAGTGAAACATTCTCTAAATGTGTCATTTATACCCAGTAAAAATAGTTTTTTTTAAAGAAAATGATCAGTTTATTTAAAGAATGCTTTACACATCCAGTCAGATGAGGAAGATAAAAAACAGATGGTAAAATTCAGCAGAAAATCAACTCCTTGTGCTCATTTTTACAATAATCATATTATCTGTTCGCTGTGATGCAAATCAGCGCTTTGCTTTCCTCTCCTCTCTAAAATACGGTTGCTATTTGCTGCTCTGCCGGGCCCTCCAGAAAAAACTCCCAGTACATTTCTGCCACAATCATGCGTGCAAATGCATGTGCCCCTTTGCACGAGAGTTTGCCCACTCATGTCATGCTGCTCTTGGTGCAAGAACTGTTACTCAGCTGAACATAAAGCTGCTGTGCCTGAAATGTTTTAAGTCTGCACTGTGAAGTTTAAATGTGCTGCAATTACACGAAGAGACTCCACTGGTAGATTTAAAAAAGTTCAGTTGCTTTTGCAGCTTACAGCTAGGTTTATATTACAAATGACACAAATCAGTGAGATTTGTCATATGGAGAGGGAGGAATCTGACAGCTGTGCTTGTTAGTCACCAACTCCATCGCGTCACTCTCTCTCCCCAGGAGACACAGCTGAACCACACAAAAAACCTGTTTATGTTTGTTTGCCTCTTTTCTGTCTTTGCTTTCATAATCCCAGACTTATTAGACAAGGTTGTGGAATCTGCTCACACTCTCTTTTTCCTGTTTCCCCCCTCTTGTTTCTCCTCTTCCTCTGTCGCTGTGCTGCACAGATGGAGGAGTTAATAGCGCGCATGCAGGATGAGAAAAATGGCATCCCCATACGAACAGTGAAAAGTTTTCTAACCAAGATCCCCAGTGTTTTTTCAGGTAAGGTTGTAATGTGTTCTGCCTTCCACGGAAGAAGAAAAAACAACAACACTAAAACCAGTGCAATCCATATGTCATTGTTTCATTACGCAACTATAATGTAAAAAAAAAAATAATAATTTTTGAGGATGGTGTCCCTGCAGATATGGAAATTATTTTCAAATTGGCAAGAGTCTCTGGCTCTCATCTCAGAACATTTTGCTCATAGTAGCAAGATGCTGTGGAAGCAATTTCTTTGGTAAAGTGTAAACAAAATAGTTACAAATATTTCTAAGTTTGTTGCTACATTATAAACATAAATGTACATTTACAGAATAAAATAATTTATTCATTTTTTCCATTAAAATGTGTCACTTTTAGATGAATGCATTTATTCAGCTAAATGACACAGTTTTGAAAAAAATAAGTTGTTAAAGGAGCAATATGTAAGAATTATAGTGTGAAATATTCCCAAAAGTTTCAATCATGTTGGAAGGAAGGTTGCATTGAAACAGATTTCCTTCTCAGCCGGCTGGTGGGTTGTCTCTTTTTTCCCTTAAAAAAACAAAACAAAACAAAACAATACAAAAAGACAGACGTAGTTACGGTTTACAATCTGTGAACGGATGCCGAGTCTGAGCCGAGCTAATGATGCCAGCTTTTGTCATTTGACACCAGCAGACAAATAGCTGCAGTTTTGTTTTAAAGAACCAAAGCCAGTAAACAGGAGTGACCCAGAAGTTCTTTGTTGTACCCCTTGGAAGCCACAGCATGTTTTTGTTTTACTCTGATATCAGCTAAAGAAGGCTAAAGGCTAACATTGTGCTAACATTGAGCTAACAGTGCTAACGGTGAGTTAGAAGCAAATAGTCGGCTCTAAAAATATTTTAAGCTATACTTTTTCAATTACAAACAACTCAATATTACAGTGAAATGTGTGTGTGATGGGAATAATGAGTCAATCGTGGCGTTTGACTTTAATGCAGGGAAGCCCGATCCTGGTCCTGGAGGGCAGGTATCCAGCATGTTTTAGTTTTAACTCTGCTTCAACACACCTGATTTCAATCAGCAGGTGATTAGCTGGCTTCTGAACAGGTGACTCAACCACTGAATCAAGTGTGTTGGAAGAGGAACAACCACAAAACCTGTTGGGTACCGGCCCTCCAGGACCAGGATTGGGCACCCCTGCTTTAATAAGTCATTCAGAATTATAACAGCAAGCTAAAGGGAAGACAGAAAACAACAACACTTCCTCTAATGCCGGAGAAATATTATTGCAATAAGTGATGTAAGTGCTCCCTACCGTAAAACACCCAAGAGTGATCATACTATAGGAGGATCTTTTGTGACGTCAATGTTTATGTTTCTTGCATTGCATCAAGTTATTGTGTGACAAGAAACAGCGTATTTGAGCTATAATTTGATTGTTTTGCACATTCGGAGGAGGATTTAGTGAAGCAGGATGGGCTGGGGTCTCCATGCCCTGGGTGGCAGTTTGACAACAGAGGTGCCTATTGGGGCCAGTAGGGGAGCTGGCTCCCTGGAGGGCTAAGCCCAGCCAGCCATTCCTCCCCATCCCCGCATATTTCTCTCCTCCTGCTCCCTCACATCATCACACAAACATACACATAGGACCTTGGGGGTTGGGCAAGTCAGGGAGTGCGGGTATGGACCCCATTTCCACATTCCTGTGGCAACCTGCCCCCAATTTTATTTGCACCTTATACACTTCCACTGACGACATTCCACACAAACACACACTTAGGGCCTTGGGAGTGAGCACATTCAACGGCATTTGGCAGGGGATATTTCAGCCTCCTCCCGGGTGCCGGTGCCCACTTCCAATTTTAAACCGCACTTAGACACTGATGGCTGAGGGTGTAAGTGGGGTGGTGCGGTCGCACCAGCTGGCATATGCTGGATGATGCCCGCACTGCCCGCTCACCACAGCCATGGAATACACCTCATGATCACACAACACTATATTGGAGCAGGCTGAGGGAGACTAGGGGTCTTAGCCACCTCTGTTGTTGCTAGGCCTCCTGGGGCTGGAGGCTAGGAGGGAGATCTGGCCGTCTGGTTGGGGTTTGGGGTGGTGGGTTGCTGTGCTCGGCGTTGGGCGGGGGAGCCTGCTCATCAGCACCCCAGCAGAAAGGGTCAAACTCTGGTTACCGGTGATGGTTGTACCCAGTGTGCAGCAGTACCGGGACCAGAGTGAATAGGGTGTGTATGGGGAGCATGAGTGGGTGTCCGGCGTGCATTTTTGTAAGTCTTGGGTTGTATGTGCATGTGTGAGCATGAGGGAGGGAGTGTGTGACTGTGTTTGTGTATGATTGTATATGTCAGGTGGGGCCTTTGACTCCTCCCCTCTCCTGGAACCTCTCTTGATGATATAGATCTTTGTCCCCCCCTCCCCCTGCCACACCTGGTGTGAGAGGTTGTGCCATGGTCTGCCTGAGTGCGGGCGGGCCTGTGGGCTTGCCGCTGATATCTCCCGGGACTCTGCCGGCTGCTGGTTGTGCCCCCCCGGGGTGATCCTCTGTGCCTCTCGGGGGGGGGGGGGGGGGGGGGGGGGGGGGGGCTTCCTGGTTGCAGTCTCCTTGGGGTTCCTGTGTTCTGGGGCAGTGCCTGGATCTCTGGGACTTGGAGCTCCCCCCCGTCTCCTGCGCATCTTTGGGGGGCAGATCTGTGGTCCCTCACACTCTCTGTTGGACGCTCCTATTGAGAAACCTTAAATAAACAAGCGCGTGTACACACACAGGTGCTCACATGGTGCTCTCAAAAGTATGGGCTTGGGAACGTTAAACACAGGTCTTAAGACTATGGTGGGCACTTAATGCACTGTGATTTATTATCGTGATTCTTCAGTTAAGCAATGTTGATTATATATTTTCTTCATCAAGTTGACGCAGTGATAGCTAGATCTTGTATTGTTGTTGTGTCCCTTTTTTTTGTCTTTTTCTGCAGGTCTAGAAGCAGACTCTTGTTCATTGTTTATTTTTGTGGAACAACCCCCCCCCCCCCTCCTCCTCTCTCCCCACCTTTTCTTTTCCTTTCTCTTTCACCACTGTCTCCGTGTCTGGTCGGAATTACAAAGCATTCAACAACAATAACAATAAAGTTTTAAGTATCAGGCTTGACATTAAAAGCAAACGCTTTGATGCTCCACCTGAGAGTAAATCTGTAAGGCTTGTCACCAGCATTCAGACATCAATTCTGCTTGCTTCACAGCCAGACAGGACACGGTAACAAAAAAAAAAAAAAAAAGGATTTAGTGAAGCTGATGGATCATTCTTGCTGTGTGGTTGATTGTTTGGCCATTGGGAGGCTTGATAAAAAGTTTTAGTGGAGTTTCCTTCGTAAAAGATCTCAAACTGCAAAAAAGATGGTTGTGGGCCACCCAGATTCTCTGAATAAAGCCTGCATTCCTGCAGCAACGGATGGTTTGCTTTGGCCATCACCCACAGGTGATGCTATTAACACGGCCAAGGCCTTCTGTTTAACAGAAGAAATCAGTCCAACTTTCCTTGAAACAAATTCACCGTAGGTCTCCAGATGTTTAAAATCCTTTCATTTTTTTATGAGTGAATGGTCTAGGGCTCTCTATTAAATAGGAAGAAATATCTCCCCAACAGATTTGTGGAAAAACACCAGCATATGGGTCAACATATTCCATCATCCAGAAGCTCATACAAGCTTTTAATAATTTTGTCTTCGGCCTGCAACATTTCTTAAAAGTTTACATCGCATGTAGCAGGGCATATTGTGTTTGTTTTTACCACCCAGCCACTCGCACAAAGATAAAACAAAGATATCAACAAACATCCTCCTTTTTCTCTACTTATAAAATTACTGTCTATGACTTGTCTTTGCTTATCATCTAGAATCTTCTGGCGCAACAGCCACAAAACTCACGGAGCGGCAGTGAGAAAGTGACATTTGTGTTGGAAAATTGAACCGCAGTAACCAAATTTGACCACAGGATGTCACTCTTACTTCATTCTTACATATTGCACCATTAAATCCTTTGAGCAAATTCAGTAATTCATGAGTTAGAGAAATGCATCTTTTCTCTGAGTTTTTTCAATCCTTTGTTTTCACCCATGTGTCGGCTCACTCAGAGGTGGAAAGTAATGAATTACATTTACTTATGTTACTGTAACTGTGTAGCTTTTTGTGTATTTATGCTTTAAAGTCATTTTTTATGTCTGTACTATTTCTTTTACTTTTACTTGAGTATGTTTTTTAAATGAATTGTACGTCGCTACATTTTCAATCATATCTGTTAGAGTAAAGAAAAAATTATAGGTTTAATAAGTTAAAAATATATCATTTTGCATCGTCAGAACAGAAAGAGATATGCCTGCATGAGTGCCGTGTCTCACTCGTGGGGGTGTGGGTTAGCACTTTTTATGAGGACGTTAAACAGCCACACTTTTCCTGCAGTTTTGTTCTAAACATCAGTCCGGTCCCTCTAATGCACTCGCCGTTCACCCCCTCCCCCTCCTGTTGGTTGCAACCTGTACTGCTACGTCAGTATTCTGCTCTGTTCGGTAGCCGGACCTGGGTCCATCTGCTTCGCACGGCAGCAAAAGAACATTTAGTGCTCATTACAAGCTAATTCCCAGCAAGGTCTGCTCAAAGAAAAGGAGACCTGGAGACTCTGTGAGTTTAAACATCTTGTTTGTGCAAATCAACACCTAACACTAGAGCTAATTCAGTTGTAAACAGTATGTGCTCCATTCCTGTGTGTGTGTGTGTGTGTGTGTGTGTGTGTGTCTGTGTGTGTGTGTGTGTGTGTGTGTGTGTGTGAACTCAGAAGTTGCTTTTTAATGCAAAATATATGTAATGATTTAGCCTGTTGCTTTATTTTACTCAAAAATCAGAGATCATATTGTTACAAAAGCTGTTCTGTGTAGTTAAATTAGTCATTCAAATTATTCTAAAATGCTGCAGTGTGTGTGTGTGTGTGTGTGTGTGTGTTTGTGTGTGTGCGCGCGCACGCGAGAATGTTGTGAGCCGGTGTTGTGATTTTGCACTAGATGTAGCCATCCTTATTTTTAACAAAAGTAACTAAGTAACTGTTACTTTGAATACATTGTGTTTTCGATACTTTTTACTTGTACTTGAGTAAAAGTTATTATTATAGAAATTTTTAGGACTCTTTCCACCTCTGGGCTCACTCATGTAAAAATTAAGAGACCTGACATGTTTGGATGTTTTCATAGCATTTCTGGTCACCAAGGAATGTTTTTTTTTTTTTTACCGTTTACAATTTACACCAACTGATTCAAAAATAATGATTCATTTCATCATTGTCCCTAATTGAATCAGTTTTATTTATTTGGAAATGAATGTTTCAGGCCCAAAATTCTGAATTGAATTTGATACTTGTGCTGTTTCCAGTATAGGTGAGTAAAAGTCAAAGAAATAGTAGATATTATATATTTTTAATGTTTTGTCCCTTTTGAGTCAACCTTTTTAACATAATTGAGCCTTTAACTTTGTGCTGTGGGTAGATGTGTATGTGTGTGTGTTATGGGAGCACATTTCAGTAGCATTGCTGCTGCAGGATACATTATGACATTTTATGTCAGAAGTGCCTTTGTTTGTGTTCATTAAAGTGAGCAACAATTTAAGCGAAAAGCAGCTGTTTTCCATTGAAACACAGACATGTTACACAAAGTAGAGGTCACTGAACAAGTATTTCCTCCATTAATTAATATTTTATTGGAATATATGAAACATTTTTTATTTTGCCTTCATTTATTAAATTTTTTTTCGTAATTGTTTCAATTGTCACTTTCTGATGCCCACACCTTCACAAAATGTATATGTAGTGATAATCAATTTGGAGAAGAGCTTTGTCTGAGGATTACTCACACATCTTATTAAATCTGTCTCTTTGCAAGCGGGTCAGCCTTAATAGTGTGAAAATGGGGTCGTAGTAGCGATGTTAATCCATCAAAAATCTCATCTGGTGATGACGGTGCCCGCATGCAACAGGATGCAAAGACACTGACGGTGAAATGAAGTGACAAGCATAAATTCAGACACACAAAGTAGCAGCTTGATGGACATAAAGAGTGCCACAGGGCAAGTCCATCTCACTGCATGAATTCCCCCATGTCTCCGCTTCACACCTTCTTTCTGCCTTCTGTGGCTTTCGTCTCCCCTGCACACCCGCCTCACCTGTCATCATGACAGACAGTAATGACTGCTCTGAACACATATAGGCAAAGTGCCAAAGTCGCATGTTGTGCTGGGGTGTGAAATTGCCCGGGGGTGGGGGGTGGGGGGGGGGGGTGAGGGGGGTGGGGGTTGGACAGAGGATGCTGTTATGTCCGAGATGTGACATGGATTCAGTTGCATCCTCAGATGACAAAGATGCAAGATGGCATCAATCATGAGAAAAAAATCCTGTTCACACTAGCAAAAGTGACATACATATCCTCCATAGACGCAACCTCTTCTCACCCTTTCTGCCAACGATATATAGTTTAGTCTGGATACTTTCCTGTGTGAAATCAAAGTAAACGGATTTGTTGTTTACTTTGATTGTTAAATTCTGTTATTATGTGGCGCATAATGCACGCTTCATGAAGCCAGATGGTCATTTATATTAATGAACACCAACCAAAGCGGGCTGGTTTGAAGAAGAAACAAATATTTGATAATGGATGGCCCAGTACCCACCTACGTGGTGCAAGGGGAGAGGAATTGGTTTGCACTGTGATGATGGGGGTGGTGGTAAGCATTAAGAGAGCCATTGTTTTCAGTTTCATTTGCCAGCCAACAGGTTTTTTAGCACAGCGTGAGCACCTTACACCAGCCAGGGATTCATATTTCTGTGCTTTCTCTTATTGCAGGTTCTGATATTGTTCAGTGGCTCACGAAGAACCTGGACATTGAAGATCAAGGTAAATATTAAATGCTTTAAAACAGAAATGTGGCTATTTGTAATGTTTTTAATTAGCAATCTAAAAAATTCACCTTATTTATTTATTTCTGCTGTTAAATCGGTACAAATAAACAGAGTCAATAAGTTTAAAATTACAGAGAAGTACACTGTAAAAAATAAAATGTTGAATTGACTTAATCAAGTCGAGTCAACTGGTTCCTGTGAGGTCTGACTAGGACTGAGCAGGCTGGAGCGAGAGTTCGTCTGTGGCATGCTTGTATGACCTAAACACAGAGTGAGACTGACCACAGTTGATATATTAGCCGTGTTGCACAACTCAGAAGGTAACGAGAGTGCACCACGGTTCCAGAGTAAAGAAAGTGGACTTACTGGAAGTCGGTAGGGTTGACCTCTGGCTGATCTGGTCAGAAACTCTGGGCAAGGTGCGGTTGGAACGATGACCGAGTGCGGAGCCGGAGTGAAGCACTTTCGTGTATGGACTTGGAGTTGTCATGTGAACACGAAAGTCTTGTGTGAGGAATGCTGGGTAATGGAGTCCTAAGGGCTGATTTGGTGTGCAATGATGAGCTGGGAGCGAGAGCTGTGACACTTCTTCTAAACCTAGTTGCTTAAATATAAATAGTACTATACATTTAGTTATTTGTGTTTTAGCAGCTTATTTACACAGGGTTTGAACAGAGAGTGAGCGTGCGAGCTGGAAAGTTAGTTGCTTGGCTGTCTGTCATCTGCGGAAAAAACTTCACCATATAAACAATCGAGCTGTCAGACAAAAACCAAAATTTTTTTGGATACATTCTTTTATGGATATTATAAAGCAAAAATAAAGTTCCCACAAAAATAGGAAAAGTCAGGACAACATGAGATCCATCTAACTTTAGTTATATCTAAATATGAATACAGTCAAAATGGCTGCCTTGGGAGTTCTAGTGTTAAAGAGGGGCTGCACACCATCAGAAAATGTAACTCCACCCCTAGTCAAGATTTGAAAAATGCCATGAAAGTGGGCATTGCCAGGAGGCACAGAGTGGCCTGGCCAAGTCCCACCCTGGGATGGAGGGGGAGTGGGAGGAGACTGTACAGATGACGTGAAATTGTTCCAGCCTCAGTCAATCACAGGTTTTAAAATGCAGTAGCTGCAGTTCTGCCACAGGGGGCAGCACTACGACGTTTTTAGACCTAGATTATAGATTTAAGTTTACACAAACGTGTCAAAAAATGCACAGAAACAGAACCATTGCATTTGTAAAGACCCAATTACACAGTTTATAAGCAAAAAAATACATAATTTGGGGGTTCAGTTAAGCATCAAGATTTAGTTGACGTAACTTGTTTAAGTAAATTTAACATTTTATTTCTTACAGCGCAGAAGGAGGCAAAAGTCAGTCAGGCTTATCTGAAGCCTCCACTAATAACCATTTAGACATTTAAATATTGCAAGAACAATTTCATTGAGTATAAAACAATAAGGCCATAAAAGCAATGCCTGGAATTCACTGAAAACAGAAAACTACCTCACAGTATGAAGGGGAACTACAATTAATGCTCACGCCTACTCAAATGAAAATTTTAATGTTTTATTAAAAATTCCACAGAACACTCATTTGACAAACAAAACTATTCCATAAAGTTTTACCTCTAAAGCAGGTAGAGACCTGACCTAGACAAGACGTATAGGAGGGTGGAGATCCACTGACTGTTGGGTATTACGTGTTTAGCTGCACAGGTCCGACGAAATAATGGCCATGAATCATACGGGTGTCTTTGAAGATTTATTCTTGCCTTTATCTGTCTCTTCTCCATCAACACAGCGTAAACAGTAAATAAAGAACATTTGGCTCAGATCTTGTAATTATAGTTCTCTTTGAGAGCCTGAAAGGTCTCAAATTCAGTACAGTAACACAAGTAAAGAAATAAACATAACCAAAATTAGACATATTTACATCTTAAATAAATGAAAAACAGGATCTTTAAAACATTTACCGTGTGCACCTTTAGAACCACATGCAGAATAACCTTTCTTCAGTGTTCATAAATATGAGCACCTCAGGTAAAGAATTTACAATATAACTGTGATGCATTCATGTACACCGTTAACGATGGGAAATTACTATTTTACACACAACTACACTTCAACACTTTTATTATAATATCCTATGAACCTTTTATTCTCTAACTGCACAGTAATAAGTCTCAAACAAATTGTTCGTAGATCGTTACAATGTGAGTGATTAGATGAATATTGCTTTAAAGTAAATATTGAATAGTTAAGGTATTTTAATGTCAATTAACAGAATAAGACACGTTTGTGACACGTTTAGTTCACACGTTAAAGCTACGAAATAAGCTTAGCCCGCATTCTTCTTAATCACCACAACAAATGTACTCAGGTGGGCTAATATATCCTAGTTTTAAGTATATTTGTAAGTTTTAGAAAAGAAAAAATATATTTAAAGATGGTTCTTGTCATTAGTTATACAAAGAACAATATATTTGCATCTTTTTGGGACACGTCCCTATAAATCTTACTCAGTATGTGGTCGTCCTCAGTCATGTTTCTCTTTGATCTGTTTTTGTGTCCTTTTGCAGACACAGCAATTCCTCCTTTTCTTTTTGTTGTTCCTGTTTAGTTCTAATAAAACAGCAGACAGTTTAACTATCTTGCAAAAGCTGTAAAATCATTAGTTGAGTTGCTTTTGCTGTAAAATGAGTCATTGTAGGAGGGGAGTGACCAGTGAGAAATCCAAGTCTGTGTGTCTTATTTCATTGAAGGTGTGGAACAATGGAAAAACGTTTTTTAATCATTATTTCTGATTATAATTGGAAACTCTAGGATTTGAAAAGTCTGACAGATCTACATCAAGTGGTCCCTTGGACTCACTCATACTGGCTCGCGACGGAGAAGGCTGTTTTAGCGTCCAGGAAATCGGTAGAAAATGTCTTTGTTGGTAGAAGCTAACTGTCAGCATTAGCAACTTCACCGCACAGCAGAACTCCTCTATAGGCTTGTGACATTTGTGGAGATAAAATATTAACAATATATTTCCTTGCCTGAATTATGGAGTAAGACATCATTTCCTACTAGAGACCACTTCAAATGTATTGATTAAATGAGTGAACCCCACCTTTAAAGGGATATTCCACCCTTAATGGGAAATTTTGTCTATTGCCGTATTCCTTGGTGCTTTGTTGTAATGTAGTTCTCTAAATCAGCTCCTGGAAACCCTTCGTATTACTTTTTAGTTTTCATTTGCAGTCAAAATGGTTATTGAGCTCACCAGGAATAATTGGTATCATTATTGAGTAATTTTAATCACTTTTGCACACAAAATGCGAGTTTCTGCTATTCACTTCAATTTTGTATGCTAAGCTAAAGCAGACGGACTGCTGCCAGACCAGGAGAATTACTGCACTGATTACAAAATGCTTTTTTCTCGCTCATCTAACCCTGGGGAATGCACAAATAGACAGAATTTCACTTAGGGGTGGAATATCCCTTTAATAGTCAAAGATCTGTTAATTATTTGGAGTGTAATGCTACATGAACGAACATCTATATTCATGTGGCACTTTGACATCTCCCTATGACTGTGATTTAACCTCATGGGGCAAATGCACAATGATACTCATGCAGTAAATAAAGTGACCTTCAACAACATTCGTTTTGATCAGTGGAGACTGCAGTCTGACCAGTCTGAAGACATGAAAACAAGCAGATGTTCCGTGTCCCATTTTGCAGCACTTAGAGCAACTCCTGGTGGAGACGACAAACAGCCGAGAGAGATGCAGTTAATTTGGCTCATGGCAAAGCAGCAAGTTTATTATGCACAGGCAAATGAGCTTAACTGAAAGTTGATTAGGGATCAAGAATTTTTAATAAATAAACACCTCCGATGATACACTTAACGTCGCTCAGTTTAACTCATTATACTAGTATTTGAAAATCTCTTCCTCAAATCCCATTTATGCTCATTTTTATGCTTCAGTAGCTTGAAAATTGTCTCAGAAGATTTCTCCTCAGAAGCTCTTACCTCACTGTTGTCACAAACAAGATTAGCATCCAATGAGAGAAGAAGCAGAAAAGTGTTTCTGCACTGAACTTTGAAAATATTTTTGGGTTGTTTTTAACATTTGTGGTCACTGATGAAAAGAACAACTGCCTTCAGCAGACGTAGCACAACACTGCATGATGCATATTCACTAAAATGTCAATATGAAGCATGTAAATAGAGTTCAGGTGTTGCCTTCAGCTTACGTTCTCAGTCCAGTTCAACATTGTGCCTCGTGTTTATCTCACCTACAGCAGAATGACACCCCAGTGGGATATTTCTATATTTATCCATCCCATAAGAAAAATAAAGATAATAGTGAAGACAGAATAAATGAAAACTGACCCATTTCCTTCCTGACCAATACATACATTTCCTCCATAATTCAGGCAAGGAAATATCGATTTAGCTACAGATAGAAGTGTTTGTTATTATTAAAACTAGAAAAAACGTGAAGCAGAAAGTGGGCTTGTACTAGTTGGAGTGTGACGTTGCATATGAACTACAACTTAATCTGCACTGCGGATCTGGAAACCGTAAAACAACCTCTAAGGAAGGACACAGGGTTCGTCAGAGCTGCCTGCAGAGGATGCATATGGCTCTCAACGATGATCATCGTCTGTGTCAACCTTTATAAACCTTTGTTAGTAACCTTTTCTGCAGATAACTTTAACATTTTCTCAGTCTGTGGAGATTACCCCCCTCCCTTTAAAGAGAATGTGTAAAAAGCTTCTAACTAGTTATTCTTTATGTATGATTTGTCAATATTTACCTATTTGTGATTTTTGTCTTTGAGTTTGACCCGAAAAACATTTCATCATTTCCGAAACATTTGAATTAATTTCAGATTCCCACATTTCCACGAGACGTGCAGAGCTCAGTCAAACTCAGAAAAATCTTTTTTTTTGCAACCGTATGACTCACATGGCTATCTAGGACAGTGCTGCGAGTCTAAGAGATATTGTTGCTCTAAGACTCTTAAGAGAGGAAGGAGTTGTGTTTGTTAGTAAACAGATTTAAATAAAATAGTCATGAGTCATTATTAATAAATGGAGCCTAGTCGATGACACACACACACACACACACACACACACACACACACACACACACACACACACACACACACACACACACACACACACACACACACACACACACACACACACACACACACACACACCAGAGGTGTGACTAAGTCACTGCTTTGCAAGTCACAAGTAAGTCACAAGTCTTTCCAGTCAAGTCTCGAGTCAAGTCCAAGTCAAAGACAACCAAGTCCAAGTCAAGTCCAAGTCCTTAACTTTGAGTTTTCTAGTCATAATCAAGTCATCTGTCCAACTTCAACTTAATGACAATGATAACTAAACTCCAGAAATAAAACTTCTTAAAGCTTCATTTATTTGCTCAAACAAGCAGAAAGTGCAACTGAAACTGGTTATAAACAAAGTGCTGCTGCATTTAGCAGAACAAGATCAAACCCAGAACCAAAAATGACTTAAGATTTTTGTCCATGTCGTGCCACTTTTGTGGTAAAATATCAAATATGCTCAAGTCATCATCAAGTCAACAGATGCAAGTCGATTCAAGTCGCAAGTCATTGGTGTTCAAGTCCGAGTCAAGTTATAAGTCTTAATAGATTTTATCAAGTCAAGTCAGAAGTCATTAAAATAATGACTCAAGTCTGACTCGAGTCCAAGTCATGTGACTCGAGTCCACACACATGCACGCACGCACGCACACACACACACACACACACACACACGCACGCACGTGCGCACACACACACAAACACACACACACACACACGCACACGCACGCACACACACACACACACACACACACACACACACACACACACACACACACACACACACACACATCATCCTGACCTCTGAATGCTGTACCGGTCACCACGATGGTAAAGAAAAAAATCATCTTTATTTCTCACACAGCCATAAACCTTTTTAGGATGTATGGAACTTGTTAACCTCGGCATCTTTTAGCTTTGTCTGTTTAACACAAATCGACAGGAACACTGCCATTTCCATTTAAGTGTAAATGAAAAATGTTCTTGTTTTGCTCCCCATTAACAAAATGTGTCAGTAATATCACAGATCTGTCAAAAACACTAGGGCAGGGCTAGGGAACCCTGGTCCATCGAGGGCCACTGTCCAGCATATTTTAGTTTCAACCCTGCTTCAACACACCTGATTTCAATCTGCAGGTGATTAACAGGCTCCTGCAGAGCTTGATGAACTGCTGAACAGGTGAATCAACCGCTGAATCAGAAGTGTTGGAGCAAAGACGTGCAGGATACTGGCCCTCGAGGACCAGGGTTCCCCACTCCTGCACTAGGGGAACACAAATGGCCCCACAAATGGTCTGCAGGAAGCAACTGTTTGCTGTTGAGACACGGTCGATGATGATAGTGTGTTTTCATTATCTGATGGTTTTAAATCAGCGACAGTCATCCATGTGCTGCGGAGCGCCACAGGGAAGCGGGTTTTCTCTCCGACTAGGGACAACACCAGGTGATTTGACTGATGAGTTCCGCCTCTCCTGCTGGAGGTGGGCTAATCAGCCAAGCCTCCTGTCGTGCTATTTTGCTGGAATGAAGACCTGCCTATCCATCTGTCAAAGCGGTCTCAGAGTCCTTTTTAGAAGGAGATTCTAGGTCAGGTGATGCATCTTGGGATGCATGGGAAATGAAGATCATTAATTTGTGGGAAAATAGAATTGTCAACATAAAAAGAAGAAAAGGGTAAATTTTACATGGACATTTGGCCTAAAAGAAGAATTCTACAGTGAAATAATCACAAAACAGTCTAAAGTCTCAATTATGTTGGAATGAAGGTTACATCGAAACCGATTTTATTCTCAGACGGCTGGGTGGTTGTCAGTTTGTGTCATTTCAAAAAAAGCTAAAGAGGGACGTAGTTATTGTTTACAGTCAGTGAGTTTGTTAGCTTGCCACGTCTCATGTGAGCTAACGCTGCAGTGCCAGCGTTTTTAATTTGATGGCAGCAGGCAAAACATCTCCAGCTATTTTTAAAGAACCAAAGGCAGTAAACAGGAGTGACCCAGAAATGATTTTTGTGCACCTAAGAAGCCACGGCATTTCTTTGTTTTACTTAAATATCAGGTGAAGCAGGCTAGAGGCTAATGTTGAGCTAACGATGCCAATGGTGATTTAAAAGCGAATGACTCTAAAAATATCTCAAGCTACTTTTTTAGTTACCGACAACTCAGTATTACAGTGAAAGGCATGTGTGAATTGAATGAGCCAAAATTTTCATTCAGCACTATAACAGCAAGCTAACAGCTAGACGGCAAACAACCGTACTTCCTCCTTTGCCGAAGAAATATTACCGTAATAATTGTAGTAAGTGCTCCCTACCATAAATCACCCAACAGTGCTAACATTAGATATGCTTATCAACTTATCACTTATCATACTGTGTATGACTCATCTGTGCTCGAATCTCCTGGTGCTGATCCGTAACTGGCAACTGTCGTGAAACTCATGGAACAGTGAGAAAGTTGTTTTTACTCAGGAAAATGGACTGCAGTAGCCAGACTTCACCACATGATGTCATTCTTACCTCATTCTTACACGTTGCACCTTTAGGCAACGAATGTTTATAGCAGGCAGCTAAAATGTGTGAGTTTTGAATAGGTTTTAACGTTTTAGTGCACACTGAAATATAAATAAAAGAAAACATGTTTGTATGTAACATTAAACATGCATGGAGAAAACTGATGGTTGTTTTTTTAAATATCTGTTTGTGTGTTTTGTCTCAGTGGAGGCGCTTCACTTAGGAACACTGATGGCTGCACATGGTTACTTCTTCCCCATTTCAGACCATGTCCTCATGCTCAAAGATGATGGCACTTTCTATAGGTTTCAGGTGAGAAAAATTGATAAAATAAATGTATTATACTGTAGAATTACATGTTCTTTCAGTAATTTATTTATTTTTTTGTTCTTTCAGTAATGATAGAGATGTTTTAGTTCTGAGTCTTATGTCCTGGGTCATGATTTATTTCAACTTATTATTTATAATTAATCGTATACATTTATCCTGAAATATGCTAATTTGTTAGCCTGAAATAGAAAATCTGGAACTCTGTCTGCATGGCTGTAAAGAGTGAATAAACTGACAGTTGGTGCGCTTTCTAATTATTCCTGTCTCACAAATAAAGGAGAAATAGGACATTATTCAGATTGCCAATGGGGAGACTGACAGGTTTAGTGATTTTTCACACACTGAGTACCCTCGAGTGCGCAGGCCAAGACTGACCAGAGTTAATCAATGCCAAAGGCTGTTTGTGTTGGTAGTCTGCCTTACTTAGCTTTTTCTTTTTTTTACGTTGGCTTCCATTTGAGGCCAATCCATACGTATGCTGCCCTGAAGGATGGTCAAGATTTATGCTGGTGTCTGCTTTAAGCTCTTTCCAAAAGGAGCGTATGTCCTTTAGACACAACACCAAACCCATTTGGGGGCAAAGTGTTGCTGCTCTGACCGCATTTCCACCTCCCACAGCAGTTTGGTTTGACGTAACCGTGCAACTTGTTGTGTTTTTTATTTGATGTGAAGTTTGATTCCTGATGTTCGTTCCTTGCAGACTCCATACTTTTGGCCATCAAACTGTTGGGAACCTGAAAACACAGATTATGGTGAGAGCACTGCTCCGTTGCACGCTCACATTCACGTTTTCTGCTTTGCACACAACCTTTTAAACGGCATGAAAACTATTGTTGTAATTCATGAATTGGATTTCTTCTGCAGACTCTTAAAAAATGATACCAGGAGTTTAAAAGGATCTAGTCACATGTTTACATACATGTTTCCTTCACCTTTTGCATGCAACCTTTGTTTATGAGCATTTGACATGATCACAAATAAATTCTCAGTCATAAGTATCTGCGGTAGTCACACTGCTCGACCGCTGCAGTCTGATAACCGTGCAGGAAAGCAGAGATGTGCCAGAATGCATGCTGCTGCTGTTCACAGTTGGCTGAGCATTTTAATGGTGACACAGGGATGAGCTTTTCATTGTTACAGCCAAGCAGAGTGGAGTTAAAGCTTTCATAATGCCACAAATGGTTTGGAATCTCGCCGCACCCTAGCAGGTCTTTCATTTGCTGCAGAGGAGGGAAAAGGCTAAAGCTCACTGTGGGAGTAATCCTGCGAGCGCCACAGCATCTCGGATGCAGCAGCTGACTCACGTGAACGATGCCCCATAATGAAAACAGTCTAATGGCATAATGAAGCTCCCACATTACGGTCAGTTAACAGATGAAGGGATGATTATGGCACAGGAAGAGATCAAAAGTCAGGCACACACACACACACACACACGAGCTCTTGCAGTAACAGATGCATCAACACACACACACACACACACACACACACACACACACACACACACACACACACACACACACACACACACACACACACACACACACACACACACACACACACACACACACACACACGCCTTGTGCCATTAATGACCTTTGTGATTTGCAGGATAGTTTAGATGTGCAGTTGAAAGGATTAAACGAATAAACCACTTAAGGCTGTTGAAGCAAACCTAAGATCCTGTTGTTGTTCTCTTTTATCATCAGTCATTTTATGTCTCTTTCAGCCGTTTACCTCTGCAAAAGAACAATGCAAAACAAAGCACGTCTGGAGCTTGCAGACTATGAAGCTGTAAGTAAAGCAGACCGGTTTGTGTCAACCCCCTCCCCACTTCCACTTCACGTATCTGCTCTGATTACATGTTGGCATCCTTCACAAAGCAGCCTGTGTTTGTATTTATTTCATGCTAACAATGCAATCGTTTCCTTATCAAACAAATCAGTGCTTCAGCTTCAAGGTTGCATATGAACAAAGATCATCCTGTCATGCATGGAGGTAAACATAAATAGACGATCCCTCAATTTCTTTTTCTCACAGGAGAGCTTAGCAAGGCTACAGAGAGCTTTCGCCAGGAAATGGGAGTTCATCTTTATGCAAGCAGAAGCACAAGCGAAGTAGGTCTCTTAAGGAACCATGCATGCTTTGAACCCTTACAGAACACGAATAAAGTCTTTTGTTTACCAGCGCTCATCTTCACAGACGAACCAAGCCAGGTGCTCCATCTGAACAGTTCTGGGTTCTTTTTATATTTATTTTTTTAATTCCAGAGTCGACAAGAAAAGAGACAAGATTGAAAGGAAGATTCTCGACAGTCAGGAAAGAGCATTCTGGGACGTACACAGACCAGTGGTGAGTTAAATTAGAAACTAGCTGTAGATTTTTCATATTATTAGTTTAAACTCAAACAGGTTGGAAGATATTTACACCAACTAAAATGTCTATCTTCTCAATAGAAAGAATGGCTGCACACTAAAGCTGAACGATCCATCCGTTTTCCATCAATGCCAACAATGCGGCTGCGGGGTTTTGTTGTAGTGCACCTCAACTCTTTGACATTCGGCGTATTTCCCTGGCCTTAAAAGTGTTACGGTGGTAGCAGCTAGTGGGGAGTGGGAACTGGGGAGATTACGGCAGCCGAGCCAAAATCTTGAGCTGACAGGGCTACACATTAGCTCATTTTACATGTTTTAACTTTTTTTTCGTAGCAATGCTACAACCGATACTTGTGATGGCTCTCTGCCTCCGATATCGTCTCCCTTGATCGGACAGAGAGACTTTACCACAGTAGCACTAAGGCCGGGAATATTCTTGCTTTTGAACAACACATACATGTGCTTAAAATGGCCATCTTGCATAACTTGCATTGAGTTAAAGCGTTGTTTGCGCGCGGCCCCCGAAAATAATGTTCGTAAGCTACAATATACGAGTAACCAGTAGGAGGAGTTGACAAAATGAGCCAGACACTCTCACCATGGTCAATCGCTGATTCAGAGGTCTTTAGTACTGTCTACAATATCGCTGGTATCTTTTTTTCTGCCATGATCTCTAAATTGACCAGTAACTAATCTCTTCTGTTGACGCCATGTTTGTTTTGGTAACATCCTACAAACCCAGGGCTCTATTCTGGTCCAAGTACTCTTTTGTGCCCTCTAGTGGAACACTACACTACTAAGCGCATTGTTGACAGCCTGTTGTTGAGTTACGCTAGTATGAAATAAACCAATTATGAAATAAACCAATGAGTGTGTTGTGTCTGAGGAGCTGAATTGAAGCCCAGTGGGAGGTTACCACCACTGCCCTCTTGGCTGCGTCATGAATTTTGTCACTCGGGCTGTGAGTGTGGGGGCAGATGACTGACACCTATGAAACACTTAGCTTATGGAGCTACGAGCTAACTTAGCTAAGCAATGCAACTGAGCTACCCTCTGCCTTCTAGGCTGTAACATTTAACGTGCGGCTAATGCTGAGGCCTTCCCTGGAACGAGCCAGAGTCAAGCTGCTAGCGCTGACAACTCATCTGCTATCTGTCAATCAAAAGGACACACCCCAATTATTTAGTAATTTCCAGCTTTAATCACATTTAAACCAGGCTGTAAACATGTTTATTTCTGCTGTGAATCAGATATTTTTAACATGAGAGTCATTGGGAACTTGCTCCTGTCTGGAGCTAGCCCCTAGTGGATGAGGGGAGAACTGCAACTTTTTGTCTCTTCTGAGTTGTCTTCACTTTTGGCAGCTGGAGTTTGCCCCTTGAACTATACATGTAAAATATGTCAGAGTTCAGTGTCAGACCATTGTTGTGAGAAAAATACAATAAGGCGACCCGAGGCAAACGACTAAGCAGCCGGCTTCGGTGAAACAATGCTGGGAAAACTCTGCCTGCAAAACATCAAGTTGAAAACATTGCTTACCTTCAGTTTTCATTCTTGAACTATAATAGCTTTTAACGTTGTGATGGTATGATGTCATTTCTTGTCGTGTTCGTAAACGCTGTGAATAATTTGCTGAACTTCGATTAGAAAAAAAATCTTGAATCGAAATTGAAAATCGCAATATCTGCCAGAAATATTCCAATTTAATATTTTCTAAAACCGTTCTGCCCTATTACACACAGTTAATTATTGATGCACAGTGGGTTATTTTAATCCATCCCACACATCTCACTCTCAGCAGGCTAGCATCAAGCTGTTTGAGAAAGAAAATAATGTTTTCAAAATGTCACACGCTCACAAGAGCTCTGAATTATATAATTTAGAAATGAGCCAGGCATGCTGCCTCTAGTAGTTGAACGCTGTAAAGAGACAAACACACAGAAAAGACTCCGACGTGCGTTTGCCTTTCTCAGTACATGAAATGCCACATCAATAACTGTCACAACACATCAGTCTCAGCTCTGCTCTTTACCTTATTCATGAGTGTGTGCTTTGCAGTAGCATTTAGCTTACCCCCTTAAGGTTAAAGGGTCTCCTCTGCTATGATTCTCCCTAAGCCAAAAGCTCAACGGTTAATTGGAAAATAACAAGTTCAATTTATGCGTCCTTGGAGCAACATAATCAATATTAATTCAAATTTCACAGCGACACCGTCAGGCTTCTCAGCTGTGTTCTCCTGGAAGAGGCTTAGATTAAGACCACTTGTTCAATCAGCCGGGATCTGCAGCTCTGATTTCCAACTGATTTATATTTAAAACATTTTTTTAGGGGGGATTTAACTGTAACATTAGCTTTTTAATTAGACAAAATTGGAGAAATCATCCACGGCACTTCACATCACCACTGAACAGATTAGACTGGTTCAAACCAGCAGAAAATAAAAAAAATAAAAACACTTCTAAACTTTATGAAACATGATCTGCTTTTTTTCTGTTGCAGCCTGGATGTGTGAATACAACAGAAGTCGACATAAAGAAGTCGTCCAGAATGAAAAATCCACACAAAACGAGAAAGGTTAGCCTCCAAGCCAACCCCCCCTCACTACAATGCCCATATTTCATCTGCAGATTTAAAGCCAGTAACATATCTCCTTGTCTTAGTCTGTGTACGGGCTGCAGAATGATATCCGCACCCACAGCCCGACCCACACCCCCGCTCCAGAGGCAAAGCAGCCCACAGAAGAAGAACTGCAGGAACAGGTAAGACCTGCAGGTGGCGATCTGAGGCTTCAGTTAGAGCAATAGTATTTCTCAAAATTCAAGTTTTTGAATTAATCGCTACAATTTTGCTTTTGTACATTATAAAAACACACACTGACAATAGCTTAATTAACTAATCTAAACAATATAAAATCCTGCTTTTATTTGTTTACCTTATTTCTTTGGTTCCCTGCTATTGTTTCAGATCACCTTTTGGCAATTACAATTAGACAGACATCGACTGAAAATGTCCAAAGTGGCAGAGAGGTGAGGAATGCTCTGTATCTACTGAGTTTAGCAATCGATCTGCTTTTTGAGATGTTAAACGGCCCAACATGTCCAGGATTTAAGAACTTCAGTGACCTTGAGTAGGATTGGGTTCAGATGACATTTAGCCTTTTTTTCCCTGATAAACAATTATGCTCCCAATAACAGTCCTCTGTCCTTTGTGAAGCATGTAGCTATCAATAATTACACTTGTTATGATACAAAATCATGCACTTCAAGTGTTTTGTGTTGTTTTTACCTCCAACAACAGTTTGCTGGGTTACACAGAGCAGTATGTTGAATACGACCCCTTCCTCACACCCCCGGACCCCTCAAATCCCTGGATCACAGATGACACCACAGTCTGGGAGCTGGAAGCCAGGTGGATGTAGTAAATAAGAGAACATCAGTGAGACATCGCCGCTGACCGTGCTTTGAGGTATTCTTACTTTGTGTTTCCTCCTCCAGTAAGGAACCAGGCCAGCAGCGGGTAAAGAGGTGGGCTTTTGGCATCGATGAGGTCCTCAAGGATCCTGTGGGGAGAGAGCAGTTCCTCAAGTTCCTCGAGTCTGAATTCAGCTCAGAGAACCTCAGGTATCTTACGTAGTGTCTCTAAATTCATGCATTAATGTTAACCTAACCAAAGCTGTTTGCATAAAGTATAAATATGTAGGAATGATACTGTAAGAGCAGCAACGATTTATACAAAAAATAAATAAACACTGAGAAATAAACTGTGTGAAATGGCTCCATGGCGCCCTCTGATGTGACAAACCTGAGTTGTTCCCTTTCAAAGCTGATGAAACATTCCGATAAAACAAATACTCTTTCAAAATAATTAGAATATTATTAGTGTCTACATGACGTCTACTTTCATAGTTTGATGGTATGATAAATGTGTATTTTATCTTAGCTGCAGAAAGTCAATAAAAATCCTCCAGTTTCAGTTTTGGTAACGAGATTAATCATTTGGATCGTCTATGTTCTCATTTAGTGGCGTGCATTCATCAATATTGAAATTGTCTCTGAGTTTTTGATCTTAATACATTTCAAACTGTCAGTCCAGGGGTGACTGTATAGGATCAGAGGTTGAGGGGTGCTGAGCACCCAGAGAGCTCCCCGGCCAGGCAAGCTACAGTTCATGGTTTTGTATTTAACTCAGTATCATTACCAGATTTGTGAAAGAAAAATTAAACACTTAGAATACTTACAAATAAAAAAATTCTGTTTCCCAAATCATGAAATATGTTTATGATTCTACTATTCGTGTTGCGTTAGCTAGTCCAGGTTTGAAGAGTCTAGATGTAGTTTCGGAGCTAGACCAGTTTCAGTGTGGTCCAAGTGCTAAATAATTGATCTTTTGTGAACCTTCATAAATAAAAAAAATTATTCCACGAATCACAAACTGCGTTTAAAAGACTCCGGTATTAATCTAGAATAATCTAATCCAGACTGGAAGAGTCAAGGTGTTGTAGTTTTTTACAAGAGAAGGTTAAAGATGCTGAACGAGTGGAAAAATTAGTTGGAATGGCTCATTCCAAATTGGAAACCAGAAATGGGAACCAACTTCAGCTCCATCTCAGAGCTCAAGTCTGGGAAAGACCTGATCAGACCTTTTGTGAGGCAGGTGTGGGAGGTTTGAACAGAATAGAGTTTTCTTAAGAAACAGCATAAAAAACACAGATATATAAATGTGCGTCCGGGTATTGCACAGGAATTGAACACATACTGAATACATCAGTGATGTTACCAGGATAACGCCAGTACCAGCTAAACTGAGGAGTTACACACTCTTACTGCATAGAGGATGAACGACCTACAGCAACGTTCTGTTTTACATCTGGGAAGTCTCAGTCTGCCACTTAAAGAGCTGTCCATGGCCTCCACAGTGGAATAGAGTGGGTGGTGTTTCAAGATGGAGGTCAGCTTCACCGACATAATAATAATAATAGTAATAATAATAATAATACATTATATATAAACGCGCCTTTCAAAACACTCAAGGTCACTGTACAGGATAAAAACACAAATCATCAATAAGAACATAAGTCATAAGTGTAACATAAAACAAGGAAAGCAAATAAACAAGAAAATAAACAAGGCACTCTAAAAAAGTACACAGGTGGTTTTCCTTGCTGTATTTTTGTTAAAATATAACGTTTCCACCAAGTACTGTATGACTTGTATTTCACCACAAAGCACTTACAGTAAAAACATAGATGAATGAATTATCTAAAATTTTAGGGGTGCAGGGATTCATTCTAGGGCTAGAAACATATCTGAGTCACACCCTTTTACCGTTTACTATAATGATCAGGTAAACACCTTAATCGACTTAAAACCTTGGTCAGTTTTGGTTTTCATCTATGCTTTTGTGACCTAAGTTATTCTTTTATTTATGAACTATCAAATGTTTAGTGTGATCCTTGTTATTTTGTGCAAAAATACAATATCAGTAACGTTATTGCTCTTGTTACTGAAAATTAGGTTCTGGCTTGCAGTCCAAGAACTAAAGAAGCGCCCCATCAGAGAAGTTCCCAGTCGTGTTCAGGAAATCTGGCAGGAGTTTTTGGCTCCTGGAGCGCCCAGCGCCATCAACGTGGACTCCAAGAGCTACGACAAAACCACCCAGAATGTCAAAGATCCTGGACGCTACGCCTTTGAGGACGCACAGGTGAGTTACACTGACACATCATTCACTTGGAGAAAGTGAAGTTAAAATAATCAGAAAGTTGTAGCTTGCAGCTTCCTAAAGCAGCAGTGCTTTGTGGCAGTTTTGAGTGTGGTGGACCAGTTAAACAGCCTTTCCTGGTTTCTGTTTCAGCGGTGTTTGATGCTTTTATTTTCTAACAGGAACACATCTACAAACTGATGAAGAGTGATTCCTACAGCCGTTTTATTCGTTCCAGTGCCTACCAGGAGTTATTACAGGCCAAAAAGAAGGTATGAAACAGAAATTCTCCCTCAAAACATACAAATCAACATTGATTGAAGAGAATCATATATTCTTTTTGGTCAAATGTGTTCAAATAAGAGCTTAAAGATAAAAAAAAGATTCCAGAAAAAGCAGACAACAAGTCTCAGGGGTGAACGGTGAGTAGCTTTTCAGGACTTGTGTAGAAAAATACATTGAATAAACATGGGCAGTCAAAACATGACAAATAAATCTTATTTTACTCCAACGTAACGATGTGTCTAAAATCTGCTCCATCTTTCACCTCCTACATTTCCCTGGCTTGTCATTCTGCCGAGATGGTATCTGTAATACGTTTGGATGCTTTAAAAATAAAACAACATGCTAAATCAGCACTTTTTTCTGGTTACTTATGTTTTTTTCTTATTATTTCTGGTGAAATACGTTGCACGTTGTGTCATTACTCTGTCTTTTTTGTGTCCCTCACAGAAAAGCAAGAATTTGTTCTGAAGGGTCTTGCTCCCAGGTAATGTCAAGGATCAGATCTGACATGTCTGATGTAAGAAATACTACCAGAAGGGGAAACTGGCATGTAATAACAAGAAATATTTATACTACTGGTTCAGTTGAAAACAATGCTTGTGTCTTCTTGTCCAGCCAATGGTGAAAAGTGTCTTCACTACAACACATAGCTGTTACACAGTTCCAGTAACTTCAGGTTTAATTATAAATATTTGCAGCTAAACAAACTTACATTTTATATTTTGTTGGTCGGTCATGTGGAGATGGACTCAAATGTGGGTTTAGTCTAATAGACAACCAACTCTAGTGTTGGGAACCATTTAGATTAGACCAAAAACAGCAACAAAATCATTTCTTTGCTTGAGAATGACAATTGACTCTATCTAGGTGATCCAATTAGCAAAGTGGGCAGGTGTGGGACTGAACCAGGTGTAAACGACACCAGACTAAGAACTACAAAATACTCATTCTTCCTGGACATTAAAGGAAGAAAACAAGCCATGAATCTTGAAATGATTTAGATAAACTCCTAACAATGTCGATATAAATTAATTTTAAAAATACAGAGAAAGCTGTGAAATATCTTTTATACGTTCATTCTGTGTGTTTTATCCAACTGCATTACGTTTCTTTTATTAACACAACAAAAGTGCTATTTATACCTTGTTTTTGCTGACGTTTCAACTATCACTGTAGCCTTACTCAGAGTTTTGCCACTGTTGGTGGCACCACTTCCTTCTTGGTTTTTCCGCGGGCAGCAGAGGACAATGTCGCCCTCTGCTGCACTCGCTTTCCTCATCGATGACACAGTCCCACACTTGATCCAATGTGTAAACCCCTGCTGATAAACGGAGAAGGTAGTGACGCCACCAACGTCAGCAAAAACTAAGTAAATATCACAGTTTTGCTGTGATAAATAAAATAACCGTAATGAAGATGTGAAATATGTTTTAGTTTTATACAACGGATGAATAAAATACTTTTCACAGGTTGGAAAAAAAGTTGGCATATTTCATGACTATATTTGACTTGAAAGAGTCATAAAGACACAGATGTAATAGCAAGGGCTGCATTGCATTTAAATGTTGTTTGTTGACAGTTTTATGAAATAAGCATGAGGAGCTGCAAGGTTGGAATTCAGCCACATTATTAAATTAAATAGCTGCTCTAATTCTGGCAAATTATGGACTTTGTGTTGAAATAAGCATAGCATTAGTTATTAACTGCTACAGAACTTTTTACAGTAATTCTTGAAGTTATTCTAGAGATGTACAACAAATTCTCATACATATTTAAAGGGGATATGATATGCAAAACTCACCTTTTGCATCCTTTTGTGCTGCCACGTGGGTCTGCCTCTTTAAACACTCCAAACATGAAGAAAACCCATAAATCTGTTTATCAGTGTTTGGTTTTAGGAAACATGTGCTTTAAATGAGCTGTTTCAAAAAGTCCCCTTTTGTGACATCACAAATTAGAAAATTAAAATAGAACCACATCTTATATACAAGAGAGGGCAGCTGCTGGAGGAGCAGCGGCTCTACTGCGTGCACCTCTCAGATTTTGGAGCTTCTCAGCTTAAAGCAGCCTGAGTGGGGGGAGGGTGGGTGTGGCCAGCTTCTGTTTTTTTTAAAGGGACAAATCATTCTGGAAGGTACTGAAAATGTCAGGGAAAAGAAATAGCTAAAATCTATGTATCTGATAGGGATTTGGTGAAAAGTACATGCTTTGTATCAGTCGTAGAACCATAATTCAAGAATAAAAGTCATACTATGTCCCCTTTAAATATATTTATTTTTACATTAAACCATCTCAAAACAAAAAAAAAAGACCCCTCTTGAATTGTCCACTCTCTTTTTTTGTCTTCCTGAGGACAGGAGAGACCACAGGCAGACAAGGAATTGAAAAGCTGTGTGCCATCATGCTAAAATCAATGGCTTCCCTCTCTCTCTGGGACGTGAAGAAAGGGACCATCTCATCTCTTCATCATCACTGTCCATCATCTGCTCTTGGCTCTGCCAGATGAAGAGCCAAGCCGCCTGTTCGTCTGTTGTCCACAGGATGTTGCATGTCCACAGAGAGGATGTTTCTGCTCCTCTCTCCTCTTTCAGTGCAAATATTATTCCAATATTCTCAGATAAAAAGCCCTGCTGGACTTGTGAGGACAGAACAAAGAAAAAAAAAGGCAAAGGAACAACATCAAATCCAGTGATCCAGTTCTTTCCACCATAACTGCTCGATTGGAGCCTTTTCTCTCACTTCCAGTCGAAACACATGATGTCAGAGAGAAATAAGAAAACATAGCAGAACATAAAATGACAGCATAAACTGAAAAACCTAACCAGTGACGTTGCTTTACATGAGGTTACAGATTATTTGTCACGCTATGGGAAGTGTTGTGCAGAATGAATATACAAAATATATATATAATATATATATATATATTATGATTCTGATAATTTATTGTGCATTTAGTTTGCTTTTCATTATTTAATTGCACTAAAATAACTAGCACATATGGTTGTCATTGCACCTGTAAAGTCTGATTCAAATTAACAAAACTAAACAACAGCTGTCTCTTGTCTTATGTAGAGCATAATTCTTTGTTATTCTCTCCTCCATTTATTTTTATACCATATTTAAATACACTTTTACTTACTTGTATTATTAAAGTTGACCCTCTATCTGTTTCTCTGGCTTCGGCTTGTTTATTTTTGTTTGCCTCTTGCAATTATACTGTCCACCACTAGAGGGGGGTGACTCAATTCTGTTGCTAACTGGAGTCTCCTCCACACAGATCAGCAAATTTGAGATAAATGTGACTTTGCCATGCAAAAGTGTCATCATCTTCTGGCTAGCTGAAAGGGTTATTGTTCAGACTTGAGCCCTCTGATGTTTTGCAGGGTCTGTTGATGTTTCAGCTCTTTGATGGCAGAAAGTGACCGTCTGTGTTTTCAGCGTCTGTGCCCAGCAGTCACTTCGGGAAGAACCACAAAGCAGACAAACATTTTTGTCTCGGCTGCATCAAGGAATGTGGATTGCGGCATTTTTCAAAGCGTGCTGTTAGTGCGTCTGGGTACGTGCGTACAATGATTTTTGGATTGAAGGTTATGAGTCGTAATGTGGTGTGGTTTCAGTGCCAATGAGAAGTTTGCTGAAGACCATTGTTTCTTTGTTTCTCCTTTCATTGTTTTTTTTTTTTTGAGGTGGCAAATTAGCTATTCTTCCTAAAGAAAATGGAGATGAAAATGAGAAATGGTCTAAATGCATGGGACAAAAGGAGAATGGACATTAAAGTCTTGAGCGATTCCCAACTTCTTTACATCATTTATTCAGTGAGCCATTCTTTCTTTCCAAAATTTTCCATGCTTTCTGAATGATTTTAAACAATTTCTTTGGTAATTTAATGCTTTTCTCTTTATGTCAGTTGGGAAGCCACTTCGCCTGGATCTATGAGTCAATCAGGCATTAAAAGGCTTCTAGATGCAAAGGTTTAACCAGTGTTGTGTTGACACATAACACACCTTAGCAAAGACCCAAAATTATATTGGGTTCTTTGGAGATTCTGTAACTGCAGCCTGTCATAAAGGACAGTTCAGTCTTTTTTGTTTTGAAAAATCTGTAAAAATATCAATTTGACAAACATAAAATAGAATTTTTCCACCATAGGTGATTCCCAACCCTCTCAGGTCCTGAGCTCAGGTCTTTGACAGATGGTAATTCAGAGTCATGACTTTCAGATTGTTATGATTTTGGTCCGTAGAAAGCTCCTTTCTTGTTGAATCACCCCCAGAAAAGCAGATGTCGTACCCCTGACTCTTTTTCACAGGGTAGGGCTTAATCAGACACTCATTCACTGATACACTCCAAAAATGACCACAATTCAATTGGTTCAATTAATTTATATAGTAAAAACCAATGAAATAGTACTGGGAAAAACACAGGCCTGGACTCCTTGCATAACACCCAAAAAGTGACATGATTATCGGTGACATCATCTTACATAGCCCACCCTGGATCTCACCCACTTTTTTTTTCATTTGACAACTTCTTAAAGGGTGAGTAACACCATGGGTGGAGACTTCTTGTTAGAAAAATACTTCAGAAAAGGCATTGCCTGGAAGTCTGAGAAAGCGGGAAAGCGGCACTGAAGCAATGATTGACAGTAAAAGTTAATTTAGGCGTTACTCGCACTTAAAAAGGTCAGATGGACTCTTAATTCACCAACACTTCCTGTTTGAAAAATGCACCTATAGGAGGCATCGCCTGGCGAACTGAGAGAGAAGTGCTGGGGCACTCCGAACCCCCCACCCTCAGCACATTCTGTATCTCAGTCAGACATACAAGCCACTTAACAAGCACAAACACGCGTACACACACTCCTCAGTCGGTTCAACGAACAGAGAAACTGTAGCAGGCTGGAGAGTTTTCTCTCCACCTTGTTCACTAGAAGAAAGGGAGGATGCGAGCAGCTTTGAGGTGTATGGTTTGGTATTCTCTCGTACGCGAGCCAGCTGGAGACGTGGCCGAGAGTCGGCTGCAGTCCAGTAGTGCAACCACGTAATTCAGTACCGGCAATGACACTTGGTACCTCTAAACACTTCTTTCCACTGCATGTCAAAGCGTCGCAAAACAGATGCAAAACGGACGCAAAACATGCTACGCGGCAATTAGACACCATTATATTAGAGGAGTTAGCTTCCAAAAAAAGCGAAGTGTGACGTTTTAGACTCGCCCCAGAAGCGAGGGCATGCTATCATTACATTTCGAGTCTATTTTTGATGCACTACGCTTCCAAAACATGTCAAACTTTGCAGCATAGATCAAGCCAGACAGGAAGTCAAAACAAAAGAAGCATAGAACATCCAGAAACCTTCAAAATAAAGGTCACGTGCAGTACGCCATTTCCTGTGAACTTTTGTGACCGATGTAAACAGAACAGAAAATTACCCACATTTTTTCATGCATGCAACCGTCTTTTTCCTTGTTTGTTATTGTGAGTAGACGTCTGAAATCACATATGGTGTTGTAATTCTCCAATGGTTTTGTGACTTCACAGGATCAGCTGTGTGAAACACTTTCACTCTTGTTTTGCGTCAGACTTGTTCCTGGTTGGGAATGAGCTCGTGGGTAGAACGCCACTATAATGCTTTAAATGTCAGTGGAAAGCCGGGGTTAACCAGAAGCAATGGCTGATTAAGAATCAGTGTGGAGCAGAGTTTGAACCTGAAGATGATGGTTTTAGACAGAATTTAAACATTTTAATTAAGATGCACTAACATTCTAAAATAATGACTACACACATCTACTGCACTCATTTATCATTTATACAGTTTATTAGCAAAAACAAGGTGATTCAGTGGTAACTCGCTCTTTAATGGATCAGCATGAAAATTTGTAAGGATGTGACTCTGCGCCACCGTCTCACTCTATATGAAAAATATGTGTTTGTTGCTACTTCATAGTGATTAATCGTAATCTGACAGATGGCAGTAAACATCCTAGAAAAGTCTGTCATGATGAAATTCAAGTACTGGGCAGAAAATAAAAGAAAATCAACCAAAAGTCGAAAGAAAAAATGTGACTCTTACAAAGCCTTCAGAACTAATGAAACCAAAGAAAACGTTAAAACATTACTGTAAAAGTGTGACTTTTAGGAAGAAAACTATAGAAAAATATAGAGAAAAGGTTGGGTAAAAAAATAGTTCTCTGAAAATAAGGACTGGACTGTGTGAAATGACAAAGGTAAATGAAAACAGTGAAATTTGGTTTGATTCCCACAAAGACCACAGCCAATAGGGAATAAGCCTCCCCGTTTGGGAGGAGGAGGTGGGGTGGTGCAGTGACTCAAACTCTCTCTAAGACAGACTGCAGACAGTCTCCTCAGCACTAAGATTTGGGCTTACTGCGACCAACTTGGAGCCTCTTCAACCTGCAACCTTTAAAAAAAAAACAGAAAAAGTCAGAGCTACAGAGAAATGAGGAGCGCCGTGCCCAGGAGGATGTGAAACTGAGCAGATCCATCACTTTTCACTGTGTCCAGTTTGAAAAAAAGAGGAGCAAGGACAAGCCTGAGGATACTACAGATTATGTTGCCATGGAAACAAACACCTGGAAGTGGACGCGAGGACCACTGAAGGTGGAGAATCTTCCTTGACTGTATCAGCGACACTTGCAAACCTGCCAACGCTGTGGTGAGAGGTACATGAGCCTCGTGTGTGATTCCTTCTGGTGACATTCATTTAACTTTAACTAACCCCAGTGAAAAATCAGGAAACATTCATGTTAAGAGATGAATACTAATTCCAAAAAGTTATTTGAATCATTTAAGACAAAAAAAAAAACATAAAGCAGAGTAATATGAAGGTGTTTGCATTTGCTTCAAAAAAGTATTTTAGAAAAGGTAAATCTAACCGACAGCTACGTCCTAGAGCTAATCTGGGGAAAAAAAGGCTCTTTAGGAGTTCTGGTTTGACATGTCCCACGTGAATCTGACTGACTCAGCGGGTCTCTTAGTGACTCAGCACAGAACCATGTCACTGGAGCTGCAGCAGTTAACAGCTTTTTCATATTTCTACCAACAGAAATGGAGTGACTCCCACCCACTGTTAAAAAGAAAACACCTCTAAGGCACCATAAGGTGTCCCCCGGATTAAAGTGTCGGCTGAATTACTATAATTAGAGGTTGCAGATTATAGATAATTAGTGTTATGAGTGAACGAATTAGAGAGTGATGACAGCAAGTTGTACCGAGCTCCTCGGTGAGATTAAAAACGTGTTGGCCTCTTTCAGAAAAGAGGAAAACAACAAGAAATGTTGTACACAAACAAAACCATATGTAATTGTGTCAGTTTTTTGCACTGTGCATCCATGATGGTGTGAGGCCATATTTCAGCAAGAAAGCGTGTGATCCTGCGGTATGCGTGCGGTGAGTAATGCGAAGATTGCCTTCAGATCCTGCTTACGGTACCGGTGACTGCACCACCTTGTATAGTCTGCTCTGGTGACAAAGAGGATTTAACTCACTGTTTATGCAAAAGAAGATGAAAAAATGTTAGCATTTGACAGAAATATGAACGGTCTACACTCTAAGAATCAAAATGTTGAATTAACTTAACCAAGTTATGTCAACTGGTTCCACTAAACCTTATTGTTCAAATTTAGAGTGTAAAACACACACAGTTGGTATGTCAAAAGTAAATATTACTCTTTACTTTTAAGTAACTAGGTTTAGTGGAACCAGTTGACAAAACCAAGTTATTTCAACATTTCATTTCTTATAGAGTATTAAGATAGACTTTTACATCCATTAGACAGTTTAGAATAATGATTCAAGCCAATGAAACGAGTGTCGTGTTTTCCTTCTTGTGGCGACATTTACGACACAAGTAACGGGGCAGCAGTAGCTCAGGAGGCAGAGCAGGCTGTCCAGCAATCGGAAGGTTACAGGTTCGATCCTGGCTTGACCAAAGAATACTGCTGTTGGTGGTGGGAGGGACCGGAGGCGCAAGTGTTCAGCAGGCCTTACCTCTGTCAGTGTGCCCCAGGGCAGCTGTGGCTATATCATAGCTCATCACCATCAGTGTGTGAATGGTGAATGACGTGTTGTGAAGCACTTTGGAGGGTTGTAGAACCCTAAGATTGTGCTATACAAATACAGGCCATGTGCCATGGGTAGAATACAGCTCAAGCCCTGCAGCAGGCAGGCAGGCGTCAATGTAAACTCACGTCATATAGGCAGACATTTTAAATTCAATAAACCAGATATCTACAAAGTGATGCTGAAGCTTTAATCAGATGTTCAGAAACATCTAGGCGTTTATAAACAAGAAGCAAGGACATTTATAGGAAAGCTAAAGCAGATCTAGTTTAAGAAATGTTGCTAATAGCTTTTACTAAAGGTCTGATCTACAAAGGGAGCACTTGAACCATCGTAGCATCTCTAATTGGCCTTCATCCTCCACTGAAGCGCTGTTTGGCGCTGAGGCAAAGTAGCTGCTTTACATACTTCCTGGTGCTTATCTTCGTAAGGATTATTTCTGGGCTTCTCGTCATTATTAGGACAGGTTGTGGTGACAAATGACTCCCTAAAGTGCCTGAAGCATCCCCCTGGCACTGCTGGTATTAGACAAATTTACACAGCAAAGCCTTACCCAGAACCACCCCAAACCAGCTACTGTCAGTGAGCCAAAGGCCGAGTGTAGTTAGGGAAAATGAAATCCGCAAACACGAGTAATGACATGGTTCCTCTTTGTATAATTGACTCGGAGTGAAAACATTTCATTTACCTCCCTGTTCCATTTTCCCTATACAGTACATCCTGTGTGTGTGTGTGTGTGTGTGTGTGTGTGTGTGTGTGTGTGTGTGTGTGTGTGTGTGTGTGTGTCTGCCCGTGAGTGATTGAGGTTTGTGCTGCATGGTGAATTAAATACAGTTCTACTGTAATTAACTGCACTTACCAGTCTCTGCGTGAGACTTTCTGACGCACCAGTAATTGAGGCATCATGCTTTGTTTATTTTGGCCTTTGAAGACATGCTAAGACATTACACATGGTTTCGTGGAAATACATCTGTGTGTACAAATTTTGGAGACTCAAAAAGAATCCCTTTATTCTATCATTTAAAAGCCAAATATGTGAAATTTGAACATATTTCTGCAGCCGGGCTGGAGATTAAATTAGAGGGGGAAAAAAACCCCCACGTGGCTCATTGTTATCCAGACAGAACGCATTACCGTGGCATTATCATGCCACTCTGAAAAGTAAAACATCGCATTCCCACTGATGATAATAGCTGTTTTCCAACAAGGCTCGTGTCTAGCTCAGCAGAGTCCTGGTATTTGTTTCTGGTATTTGTAATTTCATGGGGGATGGGGGGGTTGAATTGGGGAACCAAGGTCTGCCCCAGTTCAGTGAAGCAAATCCAAAGAATTTGTGGTTCTGGTAAAACATAAAGCTGTGTTTGTAGACAATATTAGTCTTCGGCAGACAGAATGGTCCAGTTGAGTTTTGTCTTAGCATTAACACGTAAAACCACAGTCTCCTTCCGTCTCAGGGGCTGCATGGTGATTAGTGTCAAGATAAAATAAAAGGAGACTTGAAGCTCGCTGAGAGATATGTGATTGTGGGAGGTAGGCGCATACTGTCCATGACGCTGAAACGGTGTTGGTTTCATTTCCGAATGGGTCATGTGTCTCCAACCCCCATCATCTCCTTAACTCCATCATGTTATCATTTTTCTCCCAACCACTAATCACCCACCCATCCAGTTTAGGGCTGCCCAAAAGTCTCTGAATCTTTACCCCGAAACCTCAATTTGTTTTGCTGCCGAGGTTATTGAGCATAACTTGCCCAGTCGTATTTAGGCTGTGTTTGGGGGTAGATAAGAAGCTGCTGACTGTACTCATCCATCATGCCCTGTGTACACAGTCGACCTGGTCATCCCTCTTTCCTTCCCAGGGGGATCCAGAGCATTTCCACTGAGAAACCCGGTGCCTCTTTGGAAGAAAAAAAGAAAACAAAGAGTTTGCACACCCAGCCAGAAGTTCATGCAGTTAAACTTACTGTCAACACAGAATAAGACAGTGCCGCTCAAGACAAATGAGTGTGTGTTGTACAGGGAAGGTGGCTCACTGGGGGATGAAAGAAGGTCATGGCATCCTGATGCATATGGTCGTGGAAAGATCCAGTCATCCATGATCAGTCTGAATGGGTGGGATTCTCTCAAACCAAATTAATCAGATTCAAATGTAAACATCTTCACGAGATAGCACAAACAGGTGATATCTACCTTATGGCAAGTACTGCTGGGACACCGATAGAAAAACTTGCGTGCGCCTGCTGCTTTGACAGAACTACCATGACCCAAAGATCAAGGGCAAAAAACAAATATAAATAAATAAAACCTGCAAACAAAGTGGATTATGATAAATTAATTTGTTCCATGTCAGAGTGAGCTATGGGTCCAAGAAAGGAAGAAAGCAGCCATAGAAATTTGCACAGCAAAGAAGAGTCTGTGAATAGTCGTGGCCAATGGCCTTGAGGCAGCTTAGTTCCCCGTCAGATTTTCTGATTTGATGTCATGCAAAGCTCGTCAAGAGCAACATCTGCTGAAAAGATGCTTGAGATGGTCAAAAATGTGCTGGCGCAAACCCTGACAGCATGGGCTCCGGTGGATACTCCATCCTGAAAGGCAGAGAGATCATTTCTCCAGATCTGATGCTTGCATGATACAAAACGGCATTTATGGACACGTTGGGTCACACTCAGTTCAGGTTTGTCTAGAGTATATCAGCAAAGAGTAAAAGAGCGGACTCCCAATGGGGAACTGTACAATTCCTCAACTCTTCCCCCTAATGACACACAGATGGGCTGCTCTAATGCCTGTTTACATATCTGTGGCATAGTTCATGAGTAAAGTAAGCAAAGGCCTAATTATTTTACTCAGCGACGGGACCAATAAAATCAACTTCCCCTTCTCGTTATGCGTGCTTAAATGTATCCTTTGATGGCGGGCTTTTGTTTATTTTTATAAGAGTTGCGTAGCCGAGAGGAAAGCAAATAGAAGTAATGACACAGGGATGCTGACAAATGGGGACCCTGGTGATGGATTCATTTTCTCAACGATGCCTGGAGGGCTGGACTGTGAAAGGTGGCTCAGCCTGAATGGACATCTCTTACAACTGCAAACAATCTTGTCAGTTTGTTTGCTCATGAATGTAACATATTAATCACATTAGAACCTCATGGCTTCACAACAGCGTCAGTAGACCCGTTTCCACCATTGGAACTTCTAGGTGATTTTACTAGACCTTGCATGTCTCCATTTCACCGGGCCGGCCCGAAAGGACCATTTTGCCAGAACCTGAACTCGAGTATGTACTTGGAAAAGACCTGGTGGAGAAGCTGAGTGGGACTTGTGTTAAATCATGCTGATTGGTTGTTACGTGGTAGAAAATGGCATTGGCAGATGTTGCCCCCCAAAACAACCCCAAAATACGTCAGTTGTAAAATTGGAAGCATTGCTTGTGAAGCGAAGTAGAAGGAAATGAAAATGAGCAATATTCACAATGCTTTAAAATCACTGTTTCTAAACATCCAACATCAAAAATGCAGCAGAAGCCCCCCAACAACGCCACAATTCACTGTGCTTTGTGGTGTCACACAGAACATTGGAAAAAACAGGTTTGTCAAAGTCAGCTTTATATGTCACATGACCGCTCTCCCTGTCCCCTGAACGGATTAAATCATGGCGTACTTCGACAAAAATGTATTTTCAAATTTTAATAAAGCAACACATTCTTACACCTTAAGCGTCGAAAAATGACGCGGTGTGACCAAGTGTTTGTTTCCGATGTGTAGGAACACACTCTGTCACAGAGCATCGCCTCCCAACACCCGCAGTAAAACGGACATTTGACCGAATTGTGGCCTTAACCCTCTTGGTAGTCAACCTTCCCCTCTCCCCCATCCTAACCTTATACAGTTTGCGCATGCAAAGCTTTGTTTTGCACTTCATCGTTCCTCTCAAACACGCTTAACGGACATTTTAGACTTACATACTGGGTTAAGGGTGGGATGGGGGTGAGGGGAAGGTCAAATCGCTAGAGGTTAGAGGTGAAATGTTGGTTAAATCTCAGTTTTACCGCGGGGTCAGAGAGCAACGCTCTGGCACAGCGCGTCGCCTCCCAACGCGCAGGGGCTCTCCACACATCGGAAAAAAACGCTTGGTAACACCGCGTCATTTTTCGATGCCTAGGGTGTGAGAATGTGTTGAATAAAGCTGTTATAACAAATCTGCAAACAAGCTAGGTTTTGAATGCAAACATGGTCACAGAACGTGCTCCACTCATTTAGGATATCTTCCTTGAGATGCTTGTGCTGGAACTTGAGAACCACATTGCAGGTCAAAACAAGATAGGTCTAAACACCAGTTACCGTCTTCTAGGTCTGAATGTCTTCAAATGGTGTGTTTCTTTTTGGGACTTTGGTGGTTTGTCCTAAAGTTAAAGGGGTAGCAGCCACCGGTTTCTCCTTCTATATTATTGAGCGGAAAACCTCTCCCACCAGTGGTGTTCTGTAGCAAAATATGTACGTGCGTAATCAATGGAGGACCCAGGGAAGAGCGGCGGTTCAGCGAGATTGACAACCAAATGGTCCAATGGAATATTTCAGTCTGATCCGTGTTATTGGCAGAGGTTTATAAAAAAAATGTGAGAACCACTTTTTGTTGTTTTTGAAATGGATACTATTTAGTTTCGGCTTGCCTTTGGCATCACATGTTGTTCTTTTAGTTAAACCTATCTCCTTGCAGTGCGCTCATCTTTTTAACACCTTAATCTAACTGCTGAAATGTCTCCTTAGCCTTCATTAGTGACTACAGGAACGATTCATCACAACATTAAATAAATCAGCTATATTATGTTAGAACGTTGTTAAGAGGCATGAAGAAAAGGTTTTAAGCTAATTTGTTTTCCAAATTTGTTATAGTAGCTTTAAAGCTTCTTCCTGGAGTATTTCTCTTATTCGATGGCTGACAAGCATATCACACTCCTGTTTTTTTAAGATGGCGGCTTCACGTTTCCATTTATAAATGTGCTTCTGTAGCCGACAGAGCTAAAACACGCAGTTTTACAAGTATTCTCATGTCTTGCTGTGTTCTCATACATTTATGTTTTAGAGACTTACTTGTCAGTGAAAAGTTCATCGACTCTGCATTAGCCAAGGTATCCCTTAAATTTGAAACAAGTAAGCAGTAGTCTAATGCTATTGGTTAGTTCTGGTCAGCGCTCAGTTTCCTATTGAACTGAGCTTTGAAGGGCAGGGGGCGTGCTTAGCAACAACAAAAATAACGTATTGCTTACATTACATCAAAGTACATAAGATAATCACTTTTACAGATTTCTGACAAATCATAATTTCTGAAAGGGGAAAATCCCGGAAAGCTGCTTTAATATGCTTAATAATATGCTTAATAATTCACTTGTAAGTCGCTTTGGACAAAAGCGTCTGCTAAATACATAAACATATACATTAACGTAAACATAATATCTGTGGACACCTGATCAAATACCGATGAGTGATGTGATTCACTGAAAAAGCAGAGGTGAAATGCATGTCATAGCAAAATCCTGAATTTTTTTTTTGCATGAAGACAACAGCTGAGTGGAACGAACCAAAATAGCTTTTCCTGCTCTGAGTTGTAGCTCCTATAGTGGAAACAGATAGTGCTACATACAATGTTTTAATCCTTTTCAGTGATATTTACAGTAACCTCTCTTTACAGAATGCTGTGGAGAATAACTATCCCCATCATACTTGCTGGGTTCCTCTGCATCATGGTAGAGACCAAGAAGCCCCGTCCACCAGGAACCTTACCATCCCCAAACAAGACCAAAGGAAACCTGTCTGCAGAACACCACCAGAGACTGTTGCAGCAGAAACCAGAGGTCTTATCTTCCAGCAGAGAGGCCCTAGTTGTGACGGAGCGCCGTTACCTTCGAAGAGACTGGTGCAAGACCCAGCCCTTGCGTCAGACAATCAGTGAAGAGGGGTGCCGCAGTCGCACTGTGGTCAACCGTTTTTGCTATGGTCAATGTAACTCCTTCTACATCCCTCGCCATTTGGGCCCCAGTTCGGGTCACGGACAGAATCGAGGTCAAGCCTCAGGCTCTGGGAGGAAAAGCCATAACAAAGCCCAAGAGCCGTTTCAGTCCTGCTCCTTCTGCAGGCCGCATCGCATCACACAGCTCACAGTGCAGTTAGACTGCCCTGACCTGCAGCCTCCTTTCAGACACCGGAAGGTACAGAGGGTCAAACAGTGCCGCTGCATGTCTGTGGACGTAAGTGGTCATGGGAAGCTTTAAAAAAAAACAAGCTTAGAGGTCTGAAAATTCAGAGAATTCCCTAATGCGAGGACTGGTTTCAAGAAGGAATATTCAACATCGTGTTATTGAATAATGGTTTGTTCTATAATAAAAGTCATGAAACATCAAACAGGATGTAAAACAAAGGATCAGGAATGATTTGATTCAATTTAATTAGATCCATGCCACCAAGTGGTAAAGTCAATGCGGTGGAAAAAGATGGTCAAGTAACCGTGAAAGTGTTTCATGATGAGCAACTTTCCTCCAAGATAACTCCTGCTGGAGTAGAAAAGGCTCTTTAGACCTCAGGATGTCTGTTGATCAGCCTCTTAAAAATATACTGTGGAAATGATACATCACTATAAAATAATAAAAACGGGATGCTTTCCTGCTGATGATCACACACCTGGCTGAGCTGTTTGTGCCATATTTAGTTATGATTGTACTCCCCTCAATTAATTTGACTAAAATGTCAACTGATGTTGAGCAAAGGATAATAAAAAAATTAAAACCGTGGTGACCGATGGAATCCACTTGCTTCAACAAACATGGCTGTAATTAATCCTTTACTAGCTAAATAACAGCATGTGTTCAAATGGCACAATGCAACATATACAGATTATATTTTATGTATGTATGTGTGTAAGTTTGGAGTATATTAAATCTATTTCATTCAAAACAAATTGCTGTGCTTTGATTTCATGTACGTTTATAAAAACCAAGTATTTCATTAACTTTTGGTTTAATGGTTTTATTGAATATGTATATTTTTATGGTCAAGGATATTGAATCAAAACAGTTGTTGACATTGCACATAAAAAACTGAAATTCACACTTTTGCACAGCTGGAGAGACCGTTTGCCTGCATGGGATTTTGCTTGTACAACAATATCAAAAATACAGCTGAACTGTAGAGAGAACGTATCAAACCTCATCACAAAAATATAAAACCTTGGATTAGATAGTTTAATAGTTTAATTAGTAACAGATACTGAAACACAATGACATCAGAAATCCAACCATGTTACCCTTTGTGCATAACATTTTTCAAGATCAATTTTTGCAGTTAGTGTCAAAATAATCTGACTGTTCAACACACTTTGTCACTGTTCTATAAGGCACTGCGTCTACTATAGAAATGTAATAGATGTGCTTCTCATCACCATCAAGTGTAAATTTAATAGCAGTTAAAAAGACACAAACACATAACTTATAAAAATAAATAAAATACTCAAGCTTAGACATAAAAACATTTTAAAATAAAGTGCCTCCAAGGATTTCATTGGGTTGCAGTGTTTTGTTTTAAAATGCAAACTTTTTTTTTTTTTGGAGACAGAGAATAAAAAGAGCCTCCCAGGACAAACAATGGTGGAGACAAATGTTTAAAATCACTGGTTAGCTGTGACAGATTGTGCTTGTGCAGCAGGCTTGGAGATGATTATCAAATTCTCTTTCAGATCTTCTTACCCAGCTTTGCTTTCTGCAGAAATTTAGAATATGGATTATTTAACACTCATGCTCATTTCAAATTTTCAAAATGGCATTTGCAAGTGAAAGATAGAGAAGGTATGTCTAATAATGCGTTACACCGAGATCGACAAAAGCAAACTTACTATTCCGGTGGTATTTTTTGGCATTACGTTGTAATCAGGCTTCTGTCTGGCTTGCTTGAAGCACTCTTCAGCCTTTTTCACCCTGAAGTAGACCAGAAGTGACCAACATAAGTGGGATATATTCATCAAGCACTAATAATTTGGACACTTCTGTCCTCTGCTGGTATTTTTAAAGATTTAAGTTCACACTCGGGTAACATTCTCACAATAAGAGGTGTTGTCAAAGGTTAGATTTATTATGAAATCAGTTGCACGAGGAAAGAAAGTGATTTTTAGTTTTTTTGTTTTCTAAAAGACATTTGTTTCCTGTTTTTACTCGTGAAGTTATTTAGCTCTTTTGGAATTTAAAAGGAAAACTAGCAGAGCGAAAACTGTGGGTGATCGCCTGTAGCTTCAAATTGTTTTTATTCTTTTCTACTGAACAAACAAACTGATATTTGACTCCTTTTACAAAGGCGTTATCACAAATCAGTCCTCATTGGAAATAACAGACCAATTTGCTATTTGTTGACATGTGCAACAATATCTCTGCGGTCATCAAACCACTGGAAGGCAACTGGATGGTGCATGTTTACTGGATGATTTGGATCATTTGCCCTCTTTTCTCTTTCAGGCATTCAAATGAACGATACGATCTTCAACAACACAAAATGAGCTGCAAGTTATTAGAACATAGGTTGGGGAGAATCCCGAATGCATTAACATTATTGAATTTGTTGAGATGTTCTAGGGCCAGATGGGTATGGCATGCCATTTGTAAAGTCAAACAGTCATACTGTAACTTACCAGCAAGGAGAAAGAAAATTGAGAGTTTATTTTTCAAAGTCAAATTTTTACCATGTTATTCATACATTTTTAAATGTTAAAGAGCCTAACTAAACATTTTGTTAGAAAGCTAAATATTTTAAGTTAAATATTCGTTTTTGCAAACAAAATATTTAGGTCTTACCTAAATGTTTAGGTTATTAAATATTTTATTTGGAGCTATATATTTAATTTACAAACTAAATATTTAGCTCCAAATGATTTTTTTTTCCCAAAATAAATATTTAGATCCCAGCTAAATGTTGAGTTGCAAATAAATATTTAGCTAAGATCTGAATATTTCATTTGGAGCTAAATACTGATTTTGTAAACTCAATATTTAACTCAAAATGAAATATCTAGTTAGTAAAATAAATATTTAGTTTACAAACTAAACATTTAGTTAGAAAGCTAAATATTTTAAGTTAAATATTCATTTTTGCAAACAAAAATATTTAGGTCTTACCTAAATGTTTAGTTTATTAAATATTTTATTTGGAGCTATATATTTAATTTACAAACTAAATATTTAGCTCCAAATGAATTTTTTTTCCAAAATAAATATTTAGATCCCAGCTAAATGTTAAGCTGCAAATAATTATTTAGCTAAGATCTGAATATTTCATTTGGAGCTAAATACTGATTTTGTAAACTAAATATTTAACTCAAAATGAAATATCTAGTTAGTAAAATAAATATTTAGTTTACAAACTAAACATTTAGGAGAGATCTAAATATTTAGTTTGTAAACTAAACATTTAACTCCAAAAGAAGTATTTAGCTTGCTAATTAAATATTTAGTTGGGAACTAACATTTCTAAATGTATGAGTAACATGGTGAAAATATGACTTTGAAAATTTAACTCCCATTTATTTCTGCTATAAGCTAAATAATCCACTGTTAAATTCTGACTTTAAAATGGCACCCCAAGGATGGGAACATGTTAACACAAAATAAAGAGTTTTTTTAAAGCATTTATATCTGTGAAAATGTCCCTTTGTGAGATATTCTTACCGTTGCTGTAGCATTAGCTTATTCTGCTTCTTCCACTGTTCTTTAAAATCTGTAGAAAACTCGTGCCAAATGGAGAAGAATGTGTTCAGAGAAACGTCTTTCTCCCCTGCTTTTGGTTTTACTGAGAAGGACACACTAAGCCCCAAAAAACTGAAAACAGACAAAAACAAAACATTACTTCAAGGCTAAACTATTACAACACGGGGTTACATAAACTCACACGGAATCTTGTGAAACCTGGCAGAGCTTCATAAATATCCAAAATATCAAAAATAATATTAGAATGATGGGATTTCACAGACAGGGGAGGATGATTAACAGCAAACAACAACAACAATGAAAACATCAGTGGAAAAAAAGCAACAAAAAGCCAATTATTGGTATAAAAGAACATTTACAACATTTTTGCTAAGAAAAAAAGCAGAGGGAGGGAATCCACGAAGAAAATATGCTAGTGTTAAACGTGGCAGACATTTGCCGTGGATCAATGCAGCAGACAGGTTGGTGTGCCTTTGTTTGGAGTGTGCTATAGGAACACATTCCTCGCCAGCAGAAACAGAAGCCTGGAGCCACGGCTGTCTACTCTCGCTCCGCTTAGATAAACATCGTAGACGCAGCGTAGGGGGCCTCAAGTCTGCCAAAGGCCTGACTCGATGGCCTGCACCTTTTATGTCACTGAAGGAACCGAGAGGCCTAAATATTAACACAGCAAGATTATATTTCTTTTGTGGCAGTTAACCAGATCACTTGCAACCAAACCTGATTGCGTTGCGATTTTGTTTCAAATTAAAATCTTAAGATGAATGATTTGACACTCGACAGAACAAATTTAAACCAATAAAATGGAAAAAGTGGATTTTCTTACATCTTCTGAGTGTCTGCCAGCTGCTTTTCTTGTGTTTCGAGCTCCAGTTTGGCTGTTCAAAGGAGAGAAAACAAAGAAAAGGTAAGCACTGGAATCTGAATGTCAGTTTTTGTAAAGAAACAGGCTTAAATATACAAGAGGATTGAGGATGTCATGATTTCTGAACTCAAGGTCAACATTGTGCAAACAGGTTATTAAAGTGTTGAATCGTCTGCTGTTACACGACTGACAAATGGGCGCTACAAATCTCAGAACAAGTGCATCTTTGTGTGGCATCACTTCAGATTGTGACAGATGACTGTATGCCTGTTGGAGAATGTTACTGATAATAAAACACCAGCAGTGAAGCATGACAGCCCTGTGGAAACAAAGAAAAACAAAACACTGGGAGTGAGTGCTCATCAACCCTCCGGCCTTTTATACAAATTAATAAATTATGATGAAGACTCTCCGCTGCACAACAATTGCAAATAAACAAAAAACATTTCTGGCACAAAAATTTGCTTAAAACAACTTTCATTAAAGGTGTAGGACACTCATTTAATCGATATAGTTGCAGTGGTCTCTAGCAAGAGAAGCTGAGGGGAGAGCTTCAGACGGCAGGGTTTGGACTCCATTTTTCCTGACATTTGGACACCTTGCTTCAGATTGGCCAACAGCAATGTGACTACCACAGACTCTGCTTTGCAAAATTGATGTTTCATCACAAATGGCACACGCCTGGAGGAGCTCCTGCAGTGTGGTAGTTGCTAATACAGGAGTTGCTAATGCTAACCTGTTAGTTTCTACTACCCGAGATGTTTTCTGCAGTTTCCTGGAAGCTAAAGCAACAGCCTTCCTCGTGAGTCAAGATGGATGAGTCCATGAATGTTAAGTGAGAGTGGCGTAGATCAGTCAGGATTTTCTGAACAGAGCGTTTTTCCATCCATTTTCCATCAGAAACTAAAAAGGGGTCAAAGACTATTTTCATGTTCAGCCTGCATGTTAAACTCAGAGTGACTGATCATTTCAAAAATAAGTAAAACAGTTTCTCTGTGAACCTCCTGTTTAATCTACTATTCTTATTGTGATTTTAGTATGACAAAACATTGTATTTTCAATCCTAATGAGCAAAATCAACCTAAAATGACTTTGTCTTTTGATTTGTATCTAAATATATCATGCAGATGCTTCATATGACAGCAATCTTTAATGGTACTTTACTACAATGTGGTACAAATAACAGTAATTTAAATTTTATTGTGTATTAATTCAATAAAGTTAGAATGAGTTGGGATTAAACAGCAGGAGATGGGTGTCCTTACTATTCATCTTTGTGTCCATCAGAAACAGATTATCACGTGGTCGGCGCTCTCCTGCTGGTCACATTGATTCCATCAAAGACCAGAGTGCATGAGAGTTTGAAGCGGGTGGAGAAAATCGAGCTAGACCAAACAGCCAAGCTCCAACAAGTCCGCTCCCACTGTTATTCTGTGGTTAGTTTCATGGTCAGAAAATAAACAAAAGTGGTTTAAACTGTGGAGCCAGAAACAGTTTAACCTCAGGCTCTTTAGAAATTACAGAAACAACAAAAAATAAGACATTTGGTTGATGATTTTTTTTTCTGCAGCTGCTGTAGGGGGAACCCAAAGAATCCTGTCTGGAGCCCTCTGAAATGCATATCCATCCTACGACAGTTACATTCTGTTCTCCGGGGGTAAACCTCATCATCTGTACAAAGAACGCTCCCATATTTTTCCTAAACACACAGAAAGGGAGGAAAAGAAAAAAGGTGCTTTCCTTTGCTGACATCCTTTAACAAGGGCAGCAAATAATTCAGCTGAATAACATGTGCTCTGAGTTATTCTTTCATTTCAATACAAAAACAAACAACAAAAAGACATGAAGGCAGGCTCGTGAGTTGGGTCCTTCAGTGGGATTGGCCACACTGAATATATGCAGGGTTAACGCCAGAGCTGCAGAAGAAAATATCAACTGGCTTGTTATGTTAAATAGAGCATAAAATGTTAAGTCTCACACATTTGATGTGGATCACAACATCCCAATGTTGTTAGAAATGTCAGTCAAGAAATTTCAATTTCAAGATAAAAGCTCAACTGCTTGACATCTGGTAAACATGACAAATAAACACAATCAGTCTCTGAGGAGTTTGTGTGTAATTTAGACAAAGAGGGTACTAGTGGACCAAAAATATCCCAGCAACTGTCCCCATGTGTTCCTTTGAGAGTTAATTTAATTATGGTTATGATTTTTCTTCCAGTGTCACAGGGAAGCTAAAGTTTGTTTATCTTTTAAGATTTGACACAGACCTTTAAATTCATACTTATCACCATAAACACTTCCAAATTTAACAAATATATTGCTTTAGTTGCACCACAGAATAATAATCAATGCTTTAAATACATCTGATATGCTAACCAGAGTATACATTTGCCTTCAATTGTAAATGGAAAAATACACATGAAAAAATAAAAAACATCCAGTGGGTAAATATTAAAAATAAAAACTCTTTATCCACTAAATTTTGAATTAAATATGAACTGAACCTTTTGTATTTATTTTAAATAGAAAATATCATGATAACAGATCTAAATAGTTTTCGATGATTCACTTTTCCCTTTGGAACCAAACCAATGGAAATAAAAACACGTTTTAGCATCTATATCAACCAGAAGACTAATTAAAGGGATCCTAAGCAGTTTTGCTTGCTTTAGCACCCCCTAGTGTCCATTAATCTGTGGTCAAAGCAAAAGTGAAACTTGTCTCCTCGCTGTGCATTCATCTTTTTTCCGCCTTAATCCAACAGCTGGCATGTCTCCCCAGCTTTCATTAGTGTCTACAGTAGTGATTCATTACTAAATCAAACAAATCAGCTGTGTTTATGATCTAAAACATGCAGGAAAAATGCTGTGCAGACTCCAGCTCCACAGTTCCCTCCACCAACAGGGAGCGGCTGGACACTACTGAAGTTGCAAATGCGGTATTCTGGCCCCTGCGTGTTGTTGGGTCTGAGTGACATTTCATTAACCCTGTAAAGGGTCATTTTTGCTCCTACTGGCTCAAGAAAATTATATAAAACCTGAAAAAGTTTCTAAGTATCCATGTAAAACAAATTAGAAATGGCTGTTTAGGCAAAGTATTTGTTAGACCAATACATTACTTCTGACTGGAAAAGACAATATCAGCACAGTTTTGCAGCACAAATGTGTTGAAGTTTAAGGTCCTATTGTTTTTGGTTAATGCTAGACCAATGGTAAGCTTAACTGGTCCTAAATGGACTTACCGTGATTTAGAAATTCCTCCATCTTCCCCTTGAATGGCTGCAGGTTTTCTTCAGAGGACAACTTGTAAACTTTTTCTGTTTCAGCTGAGCATGCTAAGAAGACAAGACATGAATGCAATGAAGTAGTAATTTGAAAATAATACCTTACAAACCTTTTCTTGCACTTCAGCCCAGCTAAATAAGCTTTAATACTTCTCTATTGAGCTGCTGAAGAAGTGTCTGCAAAGACTTAATATAGTACCTCTAGGAATTAAGTAGCACGTGCTCTGATCCTCAGAGAAATGAACGGTCATGCTCTATCTGCAAGCATAACAGATGCACCAACTCAGCTCAAGGCCTATGAGGTGGAGATGCACATGGGAACAGAGAGGGTGGGACCAAGCCAGAGGTAATTCATGGGCCATATGGTTTGTCAGCCAAAGAGGAGCTCCCTCTTTACCGCTCTTCGCCGGTGCCCCTAGGTCCAACCACAGCCCTTTCTACCAATTAGCACCCCCCCCCCCCCCCCCCCCCTCATAAGGGATCAGCCGAAGCCCGTGTCTGGTAGAGCACTCAGCTGAATCTGCAAAGAGGTCTGCAGGTTTGTCATGTGATATATTTATGCGTGGCTATTATGTGTCACAGCAACTGAGGCTGAAAGTCAGTTTTCCCCCTGCGAGAAACTGCTTCTTTATGAATTACTAATACTGAACAGGCTAAAGAGTCATTCTGGGAAAGGAAGAACAATATTTGGTAACGCAGGCCAGGAAACTGATTGGCTTAGCAGCAAGGATGCATAAAGGATGATGAAGAGCAGACGAGATCACACTTATGCACAAATGTGTCTGCATGACTCAGTCAGGCAACTTTCACAAAAGTATCTGTAGTACATATTTTTCTACATTTGCTGCCTGCTGGCAGATAGATTGGTTTATAAAATGTTGTTAATTATGCACAAATAGTTGAATGGTTTTTCAATTTAGAAAAGAAGAGACAGTCGGGGGCTAGAATGTGGTCATTACTAGCTCCTTTCCATTGACCGTTTAGGCAAGGAATGGGAAGGATCGGATCACTAATTTAGACTAGTCGGACCTTGCCAGTCGTGGGAAATGTTTGGCCCCTTTCTGTTGTAGATCCAGAAAATTCTGGAGTGATATGGTTAGGATGGAGCAACAACAATCCACTGATTTGTTGACAGAAATACATCACTAGCAAAACAGAGTTTCGTTGTTTGCATTTAGTTTTTCTCTGTGGACGGCAGTCGAAGGATCCAAGTGAATGTAAATGCCGACCGAACCGCGCAACGCTACTGTTGTTTAGCTGTAGTCAAAAATGGCGTCTGGCAATGATGCAAACATCTTTCTTTTGAAGAAATGCTTTTAGCACTTCTACTTGTTGTGGTTTTAAAGACATGTTCGTCATTTAGAACAGAGGAACGAGCCGTAACGAACTCCGTTTCAGACTTCTTCGTTGTTTGAGAACCTGAGCGTTGCGGTGTGCGACGTACGCTGCTCAGCACTGAAATTCTTTGAAACAACCTCACAAAGTCAAGTTTAATTAGGTATGAATGTATAACAGAAGTTAAAGAATTATGTTTTTACCATTAATCTCTCGAGAGTTCCATCAAATAGTTGTTGAAAATAAATGAAATGATTCCCAATTGTGGAAAAATATTGGTGGCGTTGCAACATATAACCATAAAAATCAGGTCCAAAATACATGGGAGCAGGTCTAAAGCTCTTTTTACAAGACACACCATGCCAGCAAATCAGTGTAATTTTACCACAACAGTGTGTCTCATAAATACACTATGACATTTGCAGCATTCATTCCACCTTGCTTGGCAGTAATATTGTAGTAAATGTGACCCTTGGAGCAACAGAGGGAAGTGTCATGATCACGTGGGGAATTACTTCCAAGCTCCGGCTGGCAACTATATTGAAAATGGGTTAGGGTTCGAGCTGGAGGTCAGATCACCAGAGACTGCACGGAGACTGTGGGGGACAGACACCGTTAGGAGCGGCTTGTCAAAAAATACTTATTGAGCGCGGCTCGATCACAATAAAAAGCAAGTTTTGTCCAAAACAAACGGAAGTCCGTGGCAGCACAGAGACCGCTCCCATACCCACTTTATACCACCAATGCGTCCCCTTTGTAAAAAGGACATGATTGCACCACACTCATGCTACTGTCTAACCACTAATAAACAACCTAAGGCTCCCTGATAGCGCCAAGGTTCTGCAACATATTGACAGCATTGTTTTGTAAAAAAATGCTCAAGTCCCTGGGCGACACCATGTTTCCTTACAAGGGAGCCTGTGAGGACAAAAGACATTCACAGTTTCTAACAAAAGCTTACTAAACTTTTGCCATTCATAAATGTTGTTTTACACATTTACCTCTTTACTCGTTGCCAGTGATGAAAGGAAGTCTGATGTGCTTGTCGTTTTGTAGGAGGTTGCGCTCCCAGGGATTTTTGACCCTAATGGCCATCCGTTGGCAAGGTCTTACTCAAACACAAAAATCCTGCCTGCTTGAAAAGATTTAGGTATGTACTGCCCCCATCATCAGGGAAAACACTGTCACTTTTACAGACGGTTAAACTAAAATCCCTTATGACAAATTTTCTTTTACAAATCATGGATTTTATTATTTTCTAATGATTTGAATATTGAAACTTGTTTGTTTTTTCCAATTTCACTCTCTCTGTTTTAAAGTTAATACAGTTAAGTTGTTTTGGACAGCTTTGCTTTACTTCAAATGAAAAACGTGAGGATGTAAAGTTCAGCATCTTGCTCAAAGCCACATCTTAGAATCAAAACATGGGTGGACGACCACTGCCTCCAAGAGCTACGCTTTCTCTTTGAGGTCAGCTGATGAAATAGTGTATAAAGGTAGTGAAAGATCCCTGACCACGGCCTTCTTATATTTTGATCTCTGCAACATGAAGACAGTAAAAGCACACCAGGTCCAACAGGAGTCCATATCTGACATCTGCATCTGGTTAGCTTGTCTGTATGACAAACAGATGTTATCTCCTCAATGATGAGTTTCTACAGTCCGCCCATGACCATAGCTGGTTACATTTGGAAAGTGATTATACATTTTTTAAAGATATTCAAGTGATATGTTCCTCACCTAATAATTATTTGGTATTATGCAACAACCGAGTTACAATGCAAGTCAAATACAACGTGCTAGGTGGGTTTGAACAATGGTACCATTTAGATCTTTCCTCAGCTTGCGTAGATCTCTTTGAAAATCCTCAAACTTCATTTGGGAGGCTTGAAAAAGGTCCTGGGGCTCAGGCAGAGGGTAGGCACACGTCTCTCTGCCAGCATCCTGATCAGCGACAACACACATGATGATGCAAAACACACACCACAACGTCAAAGTCAATCCTCCTCAAATCGTCAAGGGCCTCTTTGTATCAAACACACAAGACAAGATTTAAATAAATACCTACAGAGACCTACATGGACTTATCAGCAGCTCAAATGTCTCAGGAAGAACGAACAAAAAATGACCTTTCTGCTCAGTGCATGTCATTTCCCTCCATCGGCTTTACTACAAGGCCATTATGGAAGCATGCAGGTTGTTTTTGGCAAGCTTCGTTACTGAGTTCATCTCATCTGGAGAACCTAATTATTTACACAAACACTCCTTTGGATGCTGTGCCAATGAAACAACTGCATGTTTGAATGAAGCCAGACCAAAGCAGACTGCGAGCACAAGATGAAAAAGGAAAGCCGAAAACAAGTTGTGAGCAACAGAAAGAGAGATTTGTCTGTGTTGTAAATGAGAAAAGGGAAAATAAATAATTTGATAAAGGATAAGCCATTGTATCCTCTGGCAAGAGAGGAAATGAAGAGAGCTCTGGAAGGATTTCTAAGCAAATCAGACTAAAACAGAGGAGTGATTCAAATAAACAGGAACCAAAACATACCTCATCAAAGTGCCTCAGATAGTAAGCAACAATGTAGGACAAAAGACTCATGGAGTTATCCTAAGGAGAAAGAAAAAGGAGGAAAAGAAATACCAATCAGAATAAATTTACACAAATCCTTTATTTGTAAATTTTTCACTTAGGAGCAGAACATTCTAATTTGTGAAACCAAAAGAACAAATGGGAGAGAATGATCTTAGAGGACGGGAATAAATCAGGACAGCAGAAGAGCAACAAAACAACTACGGACGAGTCATCATAACTCAGACTCGGTGGAAAGTTTCAAGTTCTTTTTCTGGACAACCCATCGCTATCACCACAACAAACACACCGCTCTTTCCCTTACAAGGCATTTTCAAGGACAAGCAAAGCCTGTTGTGAAATTGAATCAAAACAGTTAACAGAACAGTTTCACCTCTAAATCTCAGATGAATTTTAAAACTTTGTTCTGTGAACACATTGCCTGCTCCTGTAGAGGAATATTTTAATGTACTTCTAGCAGCATACATACTTACGCTGCTTTTAACATCTTTGAGTTTTGGCAGAATGTCCAAGGTGAAGCCGTCCGCCTGCCCTCGAGACCGATTCCCTCCATTCATAAAGTTGCCAAAAGCCAACACCAGGCCAAGAACCTGCAACACGCCCTTACTGCTTTGGAGAGTCTGCAGAGCATAGAAAAAAAAATCAAAGGTAAAAAGACATGAACTGATTGACGGGGAAAAATAAAGTAAAGGCCAGAAGCTACCTTGCACACCCTCTGCAGAATTTCCATTTTGCGCAGGATTAAGGTGATGCACTCATGGAAGGTCGATTGGAAAAGTATGCAAAACACCCGTTCAGAGAAGTGAGAGATTTGTGATAACTGGTGCAGAAACCTGAGGGGACAAGATCCGTTAACAAAGCCTGATTCTTTTAGTTTGTTCACTTGCTGTATGATTCAGGACTTAAGACTGACTCTTACTGTTCTGGCTTGTCCAAAGGCTTGGCATCCTCCTTGTCTTTGGTCGACTCCACGTGCTTTTTAATACCATCTATCTCTTCTGCTTGAGCTCTCTGTCAAGAACAAAAATAAATTGTATGGAAAAGAACATTGGGGACGTGTTTACGGTACTCAATGTGATTCTGATTTAAAAGATGCATCTTTGAGCTTGATGGGATTGTCTGTTTCTTAAGCCCCCTTCAGACAGGCCATGAAAAACGGAAATGTTCCGGACTCTGTCCGTAAGACCTTTGTGTCTGAATACAAACATCCGGATAACATGTTCCGGAATTTAACCGGATGAAGCCCCTAGTGACAGGTCTGGACTTGTTACGGACAGGGTGGCTGCTTCAGACTGGCTCGCTCCTGTAGCATGTGGCGAACCACGGCAGCTCGCCTCCTACGGTACCGCCTAGACGCGCGACGGAGCGCTTCACACCGCTTCAGTGATTCCTTTAACCAATGAGCTTCATCATCCATGTCTCTTAAGCCTGGTTTATGCTTCTCCGTCAGCTCCGCAAGGGACAGACACGCACGTATTGACGGAAGCGTTTTGCTCTTTTACTTCTCCGTCTCCTGGAGAGTGTTGCAAAGCAATTGCCCGGCAGGACCACAGAGGGCGTATCACTGTTCTGTGGTATCCTGCCATGTATTGGTCCAAGATCGTGTGTTTATATTGTGTTTTTTGTGTATATAAGAGACTTTTAACACGGACACATTTGTCTCTCATTCTCCCACCGCTTCATGCGCTCCCCACCTCTAAACCCATGTTTCCTGTCATTTCCGTCCACAAATAAAACGCTTGCTGCACATCTTTTCACTCCTCCAGTCACGGGAGGATGAAAAGTTCATATTTTTAGAGGTTTTTCGCGAGGTATTCTTCAAGCTTCTCCATGTCTGCCGTTAGTTATCCTCGGCTCTCTTTGCAATGGCAGCGCTGTAAACAACAGCGGCGTCCTGACCAATCACAAGCTTGCGTAATCCGTCTCGTTCGACACATGTTTAAAAAAGTGGGCTCGACTCTGTACGTACTTGCGTGCCTGCCGGACCCCTACGCAAGGACGGATAATGGCGTTGCATGTCTCCGCACTGACGCAGACGGAGAAGCATAAATCAGGCTTTATGAGTCTTTGTGTGCGCAGAATTATGCTTAAGCACCTCATGATTTTTATCTTGAGAGGTGCCATAGAAATGATATTTTCTTCTTCTTCTTAACATAAGTCCATTCTTAACATAGGTGCTGGCTCCAGAACAGAATAAACTCCTAGTTAACTCCTAGCGCCATGTCGCTCAAGGCCATTGCTGCAAAGTAAAGCTGTAGCCATGCTGCTTGAGGAACTCTCTGAGGGAGACCCCAAAGACACCGCAGCTCGGGGAGTTGAGTCACTCAAGTGTTTTTCTAACTAAAAACACCCTCAAACATGGTTAGCTTTGCTTAGCTGTGTTAGCACATAGCTGGGTGTAATGGCTGCCACACATCCTCGCAGCCCCACTCTCCGCTCCACCTGTTTGCCCATTTTTGTGTTGTCCAGAAGTGACGAGACATGCGACACAGCCAAGATGGCGAAGGAATTGGACCGCCCATTTGACATCAGTTCAGCTCTTCAGAAACCTAAGGGTGACGTCACAGAGAGTTGGGTCCATCTTATATGGAGATTCATTGGCTACATCTATTTAAAGCAAGTTTACTTGCTGATCTATTCTGATCAGGAATGATATTTAAGACTTGAGTAAAAATAATTCACTCTCATTTGAAGTTCAGGCTGGTAGATTTCATCCCAAGATTACAATCTTAAAAAAAAAACTACTAATAATAATAATAATTAAAAAAAAACCTTATACCCCCAAAAAAGAGGGTTCCTGGTTGGATGTTAAAAATGGCTGTGCATCAACATTTTGTCTTTGGTCTTATTAAACTTAAACAATTTAAACAAAAAGGAAATAAAGAAGTCGAGAAAAGCATAGGGCAAAGTTGTGTGATCATCAAAATCTTATTAGTTTCTTAATTCACTCCCTGGAAAAGTAAATATCATAAAAACAAGCAAAAACCCGCATAAACATTTATTTACATTGAGGGTTTATGTAGCATGATTGTAAAAAATACCACC